CATGGTACAGTTATATAGGTCCCTCGCAGGCCGGAGGATATCTCTTGTCGTGTTCGGGCCACACTCCTGACGGCCACGGCCACGAATCGTGGACGTGGTCGCGGTCGTGCCACCTATTCGTCGTTCTTGTCCTTCTCGGGTATCCCTGTTGTGTTGTTGCCCGTCCACGATCTCGACCTGTCAGACATACGACGGCTTCGTCGTCATCGTTAGCACGCGTACTTAGCGTCTCTTCCCTGTGTAACTACCTGTATCTGCTACCGGCCAAGAGAGACTTCGATACTCTTGCCCGCGAATTTTGCAATTGGGGTCATGAATATAGAGAGGCTTGAAAACACTTTGGGCGTATCTCGAGACGAAAATGTACAGAATCCTGGTGAAAAGATTCGTGGACTTGTCTTCGTCTCTTGGATGCGTTGACTGGTGGATCGAATAATGTCATCAATGACAGGAATTGGTCCGTGTACAGTCGCCTCGGAAAGTAGAGGTGGTGGTCTAAATGTGGGCTAGCACTTTTGAAGATTTTTAGGGTGTTACAGTGTAGCTGAAACATGTTTACTTTATTATGATATGAAGGTAAAATAAGCTCCTTTTTTTCTTGAGTTGTAGTTTCGAGTAAGCATTTAATATGATCCTATACTTTCGACTAGTCCATATTTATACCCTAACCTGTATTTGGACCGGCTCCTCCAAGTTGAAGAATGGGGAACGTTCTGTTGCTACGAGACAAAACGTTCTTGTGGCATTTATTAGAGATTCACCAGCGCCTTCAGCATTTATTTTAACAGCATCTTGAAGAAATATCATATTAAGTATGGTTGGTCGTTAAATTACTTACCGAAGCGACTGTAGGTGAAAAAACGGTTTAAAAAAGAATTTGAGTAATAAATTACTGCGTTTATGTCACCTGCAAATTTTTGGTAATTCTATTTACCATTTTAGTAGGATTTTTGATGGTTTGAGGACCTTACAGATATTTAAAGCTTTCGCAAATGCATAAATTTCTTAAGACTTTGAAACGGAGCGATGTTAATGGAATGACTTGCAAAACATTTTGACATCTCTACAATTTCGTTACTTGACATAGAATAGGTTGAGACGATTCGATGCACATCAGTACCTGCTATCCGCTCTGCAGGTGAACGTTGATCCGTGTAATCAACGGGAGCCTTGAACTTCGTAGAAACGGAACATCGACGCGACACAGGGGACCAGACGCAGGAATGGATTTGTTATTTCCTATCGTGTTTGTGCGTATAAAATATTTAATAATTGAAAAATAGAAACGACTTTATAAACTGTTGTAATCGTAATATATTCAGATTAAGATTAGGTAATTATGTTAAAGAATTTTGGAATTTTCGAAACCGTTTTGAAGTCCCGCATACCATACGAATTCCACATACGGAAGACTTCATTATCACTGTAACGGTACATCCGATTTATCAGGTAAAAAGTTTCACTAATTGTACTTTCGTCGTAAAAATTCATTCCCACTGTTTGTTCGATCGGTATAATCATACAAATATTGGTACATTACTCTAAACATAGTCAAATAGTATGAAAAATGTTTAAAAAATTGATTCGTTTTCAACAAAAGCTGCGATAGAAAATTTTCACGTAAACTGCAGTTACTAAATTTGAACATAATCTGCATTACTAATTAACGTAAAATAACTTCAACTTCAAAAATCAAATTATTCTGACTCAGATTCTAAAAAACGGACCGTTCAAAAGGACAAAGAAGACTTTTTCATTCAAACACGAAATGGTGTGCCATTCGACGATAGAGAAAACGTTCACCGATAAAAAGTAGTAAAAACCACTTTTTCAAATTCGTTAGAAGTAGGTCAAACGAATTCTATAGACACCGAATTCAGTCTCGGCGACTCGTTGGCAAGTGCGCCTTAGTTCGTACAGTGAATACTTTCGTTCGACAAATTTGTTTATAAAAAAAGGAAACAAATAGGGGGGTATTTTTATTTGCTATTAAATACAACAATCTGCTAGAAATAATATTTCGATTGCCAATGAAATCCGAAGCTGCACAGTACACTTTCTTCTAACGGACATTTCGCCGTCTGGTGCACTTTCATCCTAATTACTAAGGACAATATACACACGGCATGTACACGAGACATTTGTACATCCGACGTATGAATGTAGTAAATGGGTGAATCAGCCGACAATCAGCCAGCCGACCGACCGACCGACTGACCGCACACACATCGCTGACCTATAGATGAGTACCAGCCGGTACTCACGCCATCGTGTGGAACAATGGATGGAATCTTATTAGTGGCAATCATTGTTCAGTTTCTCCTCCGTGAATATGACGAGGAACACGTTTCCTTGGCAATATAACGTAGCTTGGCGATAACATCGAATCGAAGCTCGATAGCTATTATTTTTGCGTAATGACAAATTGACGGTACAGGAAGAGTGAGAATGACTGGGGAATTGATATACATGTGAAGTACAGGGATTGGATCAAATATGTTACAAGAGTGTCAAGTTTGATAATCGGATAGTGGTAAAATCTATATGGGAATTTCGAAAAACGAAAGAAATACTCTGGAGTAAAATCAAATCTTAATTACAGTGAATCCCCGATGAATGCGATATGAGCAACGGCGTTATTCCCACCGCTGGAGTTGTTCCCCTGTAGAATAAATCACAACAAAGTAAACAGAAGCTAAACAGAGACTCGACTTCGGGCAAAAAACAAATTTATGAGGAGCTGAAAATATTTCCGTCTTGCCACGAATGCTCTGAAGTGGACCCGAGTACGTCGCACTCATCGAGATATTACTGAACGTGGTTTTCAATTCCTTATAAGAACTGAAAATTGGAGACTTAGTTTTTATTATAGGACTCCATTTCTGTTGCAGTACTTTTCTGATTAAGACATAGCCCTGCATAATGCTACGAAATTGGATTATTTAAGCGAAAACTACTAGACTACTTCTATACTGGAGAGTGCACCATTTTTAACCAAAGAAGTCACCCAGAGATACAGTAAAAGTACTTAAAATTGTACTTTTGCATTCTATAGATACTCAATATGACGTAAAATCGACTCATTTAAGTCATATATTTTGGTATTCTAAAGAAGGTCCCTAACGGGGTAATTTAATGTACAAATAAATGATTAGCAATGGGTTAATGTAAACTTGACGTATATTGCTGTGTGACGGCAACTTAAAAAACAGACAAATTTTTCATACACGAATACACTATTTGATACATTAATATATTACATGATTACTGCTTACTACGAGATCACAAACAATAGTTTTGTGCACACGCCGTTGTCGAAATGACTGTAGTTAATAAGCGATCGATACTATCGCCTCCAATTAATATATAAGTATATTTACAATTGCATATACACAAAATACCTACATTTCTTTTCTGCGTATTTACATCGAGTATCGCGAATACAAATAAAATACACCGTACATCGGCAATTTGATCATTTAATTATGGTCGCGGTGATCCGGGTATAGATCTCGCGCCAGCCGACCATCGTCGTATTTCAACATCGCGACTAAATAGCGCATCATCTTTTACGACATAGTTTATCAAATGAATCGAGAATCGTAAAATGCAGAATTCCCGAACAGCATTTAAGCCGTCATTTCTTGCATTACACGGCACACTTCGCCGCTATAATTGACACATCGCGAAATCGGTATTCCGCGTAACAGCATTTTCTTTTCCTCGTTTATAATTTTTTTTTTTTTATTATTTACGCCTTTTTAATTATTCTCCTCTCTTTCTCTTCTTTCGCGAATCGAATCGAAGCGACTTACGGTTACGGACGTCGCGACTAACATCGAACGTAGCGAGTGTTGTGAGCATGTAATGTGTGTGTGTAACCCCTACGGATACATAAGTAATGTTTTACATGCGAGAGACAAATCTTGCACTAAGATTAATCGGTTAAATTTATATAACTGGTTTTTATATAGCACGCAACGTCAAATCATGATGCGCGTATGACACGTTGAACAATTAACTTTCATTATTAAACATGTGAAGTAGTCTTCTAAAATATAAACTGCGTTCGTAGAAAAACTTAACGATGATGCACTTTTAACTTGAAACCGGCTCGCTGTTTTTTCTGTCTTTTTTTTTTTTACGTTTTTTGCTCTCTTTAAATATTGTCTTCGATGTATTACGCTATCTTATCACGGTAAAGTTCTAGAGTATATACTTTTAGAAACCATTAGGATTCGAAAATCCGGTTTGATTTTCATTAAACTCTTTGTAGATAGGTACTATTCAACATTTTTCTAACGATGGATCACCAGGGTTATATATTTGTATGTTTCCGGGTTATCCGTATAATTCGTTCGATCGTTGATTTTTTTTCTACTCAACCGTCGCTTGCGTGCCCGTTTATACTTTGTTTTTCACCAAGGTGCTCTTTGCTTTTTTTTTTCTTTATAAATTAATTAAAACGTACGATGCCATCTTGACCGTGCATTTTCGTTAACACCGTTCTGGCAATGTGTTTCTATAAAACGTAAAACGATCACAGTGGACCAGCACCGAAAGGAAAGTATAAATACAAAAGAAAAGAAAATCGATAAAAAAATATCGCGTCGAATTTAAAAAACGTTAAAAATACACGTTACAAATCTATATGCGATCATTTTGTATGGCTTACTTAAAGCTTTCGTAGAAATTATAATTACAATGATGATTCAATCCATGACGAATCCAACTTTCTACTTGTTTCCATAAGAAATCCTAAAATATTGTCTGAGCATCGAACTCACAGGTGTTTTGGTATTACTAATTAGATTTCGTAAGCATTCTTGCAATACATCACAAAATATTCTGTCATTGAACATTTTTTAGCGCAATCGCGGTTTACTTTGAAAAACATAGTTTCAGTGAATCCTATATAATTCGCCGATGTAAAACATATATATATATATATATTATATATATGTATGTACATATATATGTACGTATATAATGTAGTGGTGTTCTTAGTATTTTCTAGTCATTAACAATAGTGCACAGATGAATTCAGTATGGTGTTATGCAAGAGCAGAAGCTGGTAGGGAACTGTGCTTAGGTTTCGTCTTGTTTAGGAAAACCTTTATGCAACCATTAAAGTCGGCGCTTACGAGAACATGGCCACCACAGCCTTTGGTGCGCTGTTCAACCACAGGATCAACGGGAGGAACATCTACGGTTGAACTAGCTAGATTCTTTGCGTCTTCTTTACTTTCCCATTGCTCCCTCTCTTCGATCTGTTTTATAATACTATCCGGATTTGGTGCAAACACTGCGCATGTCACTACAGCATTGTGAGATTTTATACCTTCCCAAAAGTCATTTCGATCTCTACGTACGCTCGAGAATTTCGAATAATCATGATGGGTCTTCCAGATGTAAATGCACTGATTTTCCGAACCACTAACTATATACTGCCCGTCAGGGCTAAAACTCGCTTTAATCTGACTACTAACGTTAACGTAACCTTTATATTTGCACGACAAATTTAAATCTCGCAAATCGTACAGACGGATGCGGCTATCGTTTGAGGTGACCAAGATCTTGTCTTCGCCTGGCATAGGCTCGATACCACTGATCTTTCTTCCTGTCGAATTCTTCCCTCTCGTCGATCGTACGTGTATCTGTGTGTGATATTTTAACTGATCCGTGTTGTAAAATATACATCGGCCATCGTACGAACCTACCACCGCAAATTTTCCATTCTGACAAAAGTTTGCGGCGGTAATCAATTTAGTTTGTCCATCAACTTCGTTCCACACGGCGACCTTTTTGTCCGGAATATTCCAAAGTCGAAGTTTACCGTCCAAAGACCCTGATAGAAAGTATCGATCATCCCGAGGATGAAATACTATTGCTGTAACGAAATCAATATGTTGGAAGCAACACAGGCATTCCTTCCGCGATATATGCCAGAGCCGCACAGTTTTATCCATCGACGAAGACAAAACGAAATAATTCTTAGACCATGATACGTCGAGCAAGTCTGAGGTATGACCGGTGTAAGTGCAAAATGGCTTCGGCATAAAAGGTCCTTTCGTCCCTTCTATTTCACTGAAGGCACTAGCCACAACGTTGGGATCTTCCATAGACTGTTGCGAGACCAAAGATTCCTGCGAAGGAGTTGGACTAACTTTTTCAGCGTTGTATTTAGTTCGCATATCTTGAAAATATGTGAAAGCATCGCGCAAAACCCAAATTCTTAAAACTCGATCCTGTCCTGCTGTAGCAAGTAGCCGTCCACAAGCAGAAAATTTCATACACCAAACGGGACCCACATGTTCCCCACTCAAGTCCTGCACATGCCGTAAGCAACTGAATTCGTATGGTCCTTTATGACTATTAGATGCTTTCAATTTAATACATTGCTGTTCACCAGGATAAACTTCATCTACTATATCCATAACGTCTTCCTTGTGTCTTGCATGAGATACTTCTTGGGCGATAGATTTGGCTTTGTCCATCGTTTTTTTTACAGTGGATCCTAAGAATCGTTTCAACTTTTGAGTCCTCTTTCGAACTCTGCCAACAGCCACATCTTCGTCTGGTGGTATACTGGACATTTTACTGTCAACGCTTTCCTCGTCACTTTCCTTCTCCTTCTCGAGACTAGAATTACTTATATATTCTGAAGTGAGTCTCATAATATGAAGCGACAAAGGATTAATACACTGTGGTAATTTATCTTCCGCTATACTTAATGGCACTCTTTCACCAGTGTCTAAGTTTAGTACAGTTACTTGTTCTAAAATTTCCTAAAACAAGATGAGCATATCATTGTTATTAACGCATTGGAGATTAACAAATTTCGTCTTCATCTAATATTTAAAACAATATCCTACCATGTCTGTTAAACGTTTTCCAGAATCTGTTCTTGTTCTTACAAACATGTTTAACTGTTTCACCATATCTTGATCACCAGCAGATTTTCGTCTTTCCTTTGAACCTGGAGGACTCAAACCGGAAAGCTTATGAGGGCCTAAGGAGTAACGGCCAATGCTGTTACTAGACATAGATCCCAATGGACTATTTGATTTATCACTTGATCTCACACTCATTAATTCAGCTTTCACTCTTTCTATTCTTTCTAATTCTTCCGCCGAAGGCCCTTCAGCTTTTGACTTGTCTTCATCCTACAGGTAAGGAAATAATTAGTATGTATATACATCAGACATCATATGTTAAAGTATATTTATATAAATATATTGTTATACAAACTTGTGGTTTAACAACATATTGTCCTTTTGTAGCAGATCGAATGTCAAGTGAGTGTTCAAATTCTCTAGTGATGGACTCAATAGTACTTGCTGGACTTGGTAATGGAGAAGCTGGTAGTACCGATTCTGTTGTAGAAGGCTAAAATTATAAATCTATGTTTACTTGCTGAATACGATACTATCTTCTCAATGATTTAAAACGAAAATATTTTTTATACTCTAAAATAATTGTACTAATTAAGAAGTATCGTACAGCAAGGTCAGTAGGTGTCTGAACTTTTGTCTTTTTTTTACGTCTAGGTGGTGCAACGGGTATTCCAACCACAGCAGTATCTTCATTGGACTTTCCATTATTCTTTGTACTAGCGATGACATCAGGTTCTTGAAGCATAACAGTCTTATCATTTTGTGAGTGAGAAGCATAGTTCGACCTACTGTTAACAGAGGATTCCTGTAGGATATCCCCTGATAACGTAAGGATGCTGGAGGACTGGGACACCTTACCAGATGCTGTGTCCTCGTCTTTGCTTGGAATACTAGCAATGGAGGACATCTGGCTATCACGGGTAAGGATGGCAGAAGGAGGACACTGGGTTACATTTGTTACAAGTACAGCAGAAGCATTGTCCCCAACTCCAGCTAAAATTCGACCCACTCGTCCTAAAGAGGTCATACTTTGTAGGCTAAGAGTATCGTGTTCAATGATTCTAAATGGATGAGTTGTTTTTGAAGGAGCAGGATATACACCCTCGATGGATGATGTTTGACTATCTGGAGGGGAACTGTTAATGGGAATATCATCATCTTCTGTTTGCATGCGCTGACGAAGTTCACGAAATCTCCTTCTACCCACAATTTTATCTGTACTAGATTCCTTTCCATCTTCTTCCTAAATTAATGTATATTCTTTATTAAAACTATGTTAGGTATTAAGTATGTAATATCAATCATTTTAATAGCAGTAATGTTTCACAAAAACATCATCATCGTCTGTTTTCTGATGGATGTCTGATGTATCCTTGGGTGGTATTTCAACGCTAAAGGATTCACGCTGTTTGCTCCTGCTATGAAAATCAAATACTGTTACATCAGTACTGTTATAATCAGTACTAAATAAGACAAAACAATCTTTAATACATATAAAATATAGAGGAAAGTAGACTGACTGAAAGTAAAATAAATACTACATTCCAATATAAACTGATTTATTAAACTATTGAAACAATGACATTGAAGATTATTTTCCAATATGTTTGGAATTGAAAAGCAACGATTAAAACACTAGAGAAGTAGCAACTGCCGGTTCTGAAATAACTGCATACAATCATGAAAATGATTGCATTAAAGTGCTCAATTTCAGACCTAACCAAAAATATAAAGCTATATAGGAACATGACACAACAGAAAAGGTAGACAATAGGAAATGATATAAAAGAAACTTCGAGGTCTAAAAGAAGATCGAATAATGTCATCGATCAAATGAAAATCGCGAAAGAAATTTTCGTAATCGGTACTGTTTTATAAGTGAACAGAGTTCAAATTGTTACAAAAGTTTTATAGTAACGATCTATAATACGTGCACATTATAAATAAAATATTATTCAGGATCTTGAATAGAGTCACATGATAAGCGAATATTAGTCAAGTTACCGTGAGTTACGGTGGGAAGTATCATCCTCCGCATCAAAAAATTCTTCGGAATCGCTGCTTCCAGACATTGTCGTCTGCACTGAATGATTAGTAATAATAATATTATCCGCATCGGTACTGTCAAGGCGCGTCACGCGTTTCGCAAAATCGCGAATACCAAGACCAGACAAAAGCGAGTATAGGATTGCGAATGGCACGAAGTCATGATTTGACTTCCAATAGCGGTTACAGAAATGCACAGCTCTGTGCTAACGTACTGGCTGCGTATTTCAATTATCCTAGTTCTTTCGAACGTAAATTAACGATGCGAAAGTGGTAACACTGCACGAGTCTGTCCAATAAAGAGGCTGCATCATGGAAAAGAGTTGCGCGATTGGTGAACAACGAGTTTGCAGCCTCGAACTCGTGCAGCTGCCCGCTCGCCAGCATGCCTGCTGCAAAGGAGGCGAGCCGTCACACAAAAGCAAGATGGAGGATCTCACAGTCGAAGTATGCGGCGAAAACGGAGCAAATTATAAGGTTCGTTCTGTGAAAAGTATACAAAAAACAGGGCGAAAGGTCGAGGCCGTGGATAGACCAAGTCACGGCCCATGGCGCGGTTCTAATCTCACAAAAGAGACGCCCGTACTTCGCGAAAGCGCGGCCCTCAAATGTTCGCGAGGTAACGCGGCTTCCTCCGACGCCATGTCTCGTTTGACAGGGCGTGATTTTCGTCAGCTTTTAATGTTGCAATCCGTCCTGATGTTATTCCAATTCACCAAATCGCGTTTCCTTTATATAAAAATTACAGAAACACCGCTTTCGTCGGTATCCCGAATGCACCCCGATATTACGCTCGATTTTCTTATGCTACTCGCTACTACTCTTCTGATTTCTGGACGAGTGTCTTTACATGCTTTATGTTTCATTTTTTCAGGCCTTTGTCACCGACGTCTTTGAGGACGAGGTTCTGGTACAGTTCGAAAATGAGTAAGTTCTTCCTGTACTTTTCGAGTAACTATTTAACTATTAGTCTTTGGAACAGATCACTATGATTAGCTATGCTAATACAAACAGTATAGTTTTTTTGAGCACAAGAATTATACCATTTTTATCAATCACACTCTAAATACTTGTCCCGATGATATCGAAAGTCCATGATTTTCATAAATATTAGTCGTTATTTGTACATATATGGCTATTATTTTTTATGGTATTTTTACATATTTTACCTTATTTCTAAATACAATAACAATTGCTGTTATATATACCTAGGTATTATGAAGAATCATTAAAGTTTAATATAATCTTTTAACGAGTCTTTTATCGTATTATAGGAATATCTTTGATATGATCATAAACGTAGCAATTGAAAATAACTATTTTACATGGAAAATGTATATAAAAATAATAATTTAAATCTGTTTTAAATCCACTAAAGCATAACAACTGTGATGATAATACTTTTATTATATAAGTTATAGTTTTAGTATATATATATATACATATATATATATATATATATGCGTATGTACAGTTTTTTAAAAGTTTATTGTCGTTTATGAGTTATTTCATTTGTACAAAGTATGTTGCAACATTGGGCAAGAGGTTTACATATAATTTACTTACACAATGTAATAATGTATACTTTTCATTTTAGTTGGCAAGCAGAAGCAAAGTTCCCATTTTCTCAAGTACGTCTACCTCCAAAAGAAGGTCCGAAAACTGAATATGCAGAGAATCAGGAGGTTGAAGTACTTTCTAGGACTAATGAGCATGAACATTGGGGTTGGTGGAAGGCAACTAGTAAGGTTAGTAAGAATTGGTCTTACTTTTTTTTTTGCATATTACTCATGAAAAGAAATATGTACTGAAGTTTCATTAATTTGTGTATAATGCGTATATATACATATATGTATTGTTACATATGTATTTCTTAACCCTCGAAGTCCGGATTGCCAAAATCGGCGGAGGGGTCAATCGTGATCTATAAAAACATCTCGAAATATTTGCTTCCATGCTATATAAACAGTTCGATGACACTGATTATCAACGGGTCGCCGGTGACCCGGACATAGGAACGCGTGGGTTAATAATTTTATTTTTTTTAAATTGATATTTCAAACACTGATGGTTTTAATTGTATTTAGAAACATTATTTATATAATGAAATTAATGTTTCAGATGAGCAAAGGAGGTTTTCAAGTAGTTGAATATTCAGGCTGGGAATGTGCTTATACTGAAATTGTAGGTAGCGAGCGAGTGAGGCCCAAAAATCCTAATCCCCCTATTGATAAAAATACATTTCACAAGATCGAAATCGAAGTACCTGAAGATCTGAGAGAATTGTATGTAATACGTTCTGTTCTTTTCAGTCATTTAAGACCATTATTTTATTATGCTCTAAAAAGATTTTTTAATGTGTACAGTGCCAAAGTGGAAAATGTACATAAGGATTTTCAAAAAGCGATAGGTGCGGCTGTGTGCCGATATGTGCCTGAACGAGGAGTATTGCTGGCCATCTCCCGTCACGAAAATTTACATCGTCACAGTAGCGTGCTCCAAGAAATGCACTTTAGAAGCTTATCGCAAAAGGTAATTAGTGAAGTTACTATGGTCGTCAATTACTTTTTTCTCAACTAATTTGCAAATAATTTGGCAACATAATGCTATTAAAAATGTAATTGGTATAGCTATACAAATAAATTATATAGTACCATAATAGGATCAACATTCCTTCTGAAATACATAATTGTTTATTTGTATGTTACAGGTATTACTTTTAAAAAGAACTGAAGAAGCGATACGTCAACTGGAGTCAACTAAACTTCAGACGATTGGGGGGTAAGTAAAGAACATTTAGTCTTGGTGTTGCAATTAACAAATCTTGTGATATTTAATACCTGTCCCTATCCATATACTGTCCTGGTTACCATCCTGTCTGTGGTTTGCATTTACTGGCAGAAAAGATTCATTATATTTCCAATCATTAACTAATATGTTTGCTTCAACATCATATCATTTTTATGAATGTCGTTATATAATTACACTAAAAACGTTTACTATACCTTTCATTTTCGTTTCCCAATGTTACATTTGTGATTGTATATAAAATCTTCAATAAATTTACCATTATACATTTACAAGATTCATACATAACTTTACATGTCAGTTGCCATTTTATTTCTTTTACTACTGTCAATCGCAAAAGCACAAAGTGCATATTGTAATAAATCAGCACATGATGTATTTTTCCATCTGTCTTTTAGCAAATGTCACTTTCAGTTGACATACTATTCTGTTACTTTTAAAATATTTTTGTACATATAGGGTAATGCTATGTTTTCCATTATTTGCTGATTACAATCATCAGGTACATAAATTATGATTAGATCAATTTTATTTAATGTGTTTCATAGAACACATTCATATTAAATGTTTTAAGTATATTTACTGCTACTTGTTGTTTTTCTACTTTAAATCATTTCGTTCATAAGTAAACAAAAGTATATATCAAATTCTATTAAGAAATAAGGAAACCTTCTACACCGGTACCCTTTAGGAACATAAATGATATCCTTTAACTGCAATTTTATATTAACTGTTGTTATTAAGTAAACGTGATTGATGTCCACATAATTAAGTGTTTAAATTACAATTTTTAAATATGAAATTTTAATGAATAGTGTACTTTATATAATACAAAAAAAGACAATATGCATGCACTTTGAATTTTCATGTGTTTCATTACATATATATCTATAATATATATGTGTGTATATATATATATATATATTTAATCATCTTCATTCATTCGAATACACAGGATCAAGTTATGCAAAATGTTTGTATATTAACAGTTATATTAAAATTCACAAAAATCTTTGTAGTTGTAGATGCTTGACATATTCCAGCAAGTAAACACACTATCTGTCTGAGTAACTAATACATGCAATTAGGGCTACCGCTTGCACTTGAAATTTGTTTATCGTGTTATATTCTTGAACACTAATTGTTTTTGATGAAATATCTTACACTAAGATACACAATATTCTCCAAAACATTCAAGTAACGGGTTTGTATGATTTTTTAGTAGAATATTAAAAATAATCAGGATATTATCCAAATAATAATGCTTAATATATCTTCGTAATTTAGTAAAAATTGAGTATACATTTTTAAATACTAACTCTGTATACCAATTTATTTTAATACAGGTATAATTCTAAAGAAATACTCAATATAATGAAGAGAAGGCAGTACTTTTTATGCAGGGTATATTTTTAGATTATTAGTATACTAACAGGGTAGGTGTATGGAAAGTAAATAGTAGTTTTTGAAAAGTTTGTAACATTGTATTTTTACTATTACCAGACGAGTGACTTCTGTTCCATCAGAATACGAAAACTTTACTAACTATGTTTACTAACTATAACTTAATACGAATGGAAGTGGATTTTGAATGAAATTTAATTCATTTATTGGCGAGGAGCAAACAGACAGAATGGCAGGGACACAGGATAGGGCCACCTTACACATGACTTTCCACTGAGTTACACCAGAGTTTGTTTCTCATTTCAGCAAATTTAGATCTTCAAACTTTATATATCAGCGTGTCTCAGACTTTGAGGCAGGAGTGAAAACAAATTCAAGGTGAGATCAGAGCAGCGTGGTTTAGACTTAAGTTAACATTAGCTTATTGTATGACAAATTTTACACAGCTGCATTTTTCCATTGAAAAATGAAATTACACTATAAATGTGCATGCTTCGGCGTTGTGTAGATCATTCAGTGAGACCCAAATGCTTTAAAATACACAGACATATAAAATTTATTGTTTATTCTTTTCAATTTATTATACGTTCTGTAGTAAAATTATTTCGTAAATGATGAATTAGTGAATAATTATAAACGTGTAGCTGTGATCAGTTTCAATTCCTTTACCCTTTTTTTTTTACATTTATGTGTTTAAGTAGAGTTTTACGTTCATTCATTTTGTCCACATAAGAAAATACATTCTGGCCTGCCAATGTTTGAGAAACACTGATATATTAAGTGTGTTGCACAGAAATTTAAATAACTGGTAACTCTATATCGTATTTTATCAAAAGTTAATGACTTAATTACAAAATATATAATGAGGATAATGAAAATTAATATAAGCTTTAGTATTGAATCATTTCTGTTAGGTCGTTATGAAATTTTTAATTCTATTATAATTATAATATTACACGATTTTGTATGAATTTTTACAAAGGATGTAAATAATTCACACTGATTCTGTTTAAAAAAAATTTATTTATACATAAATACCATAATAACATACATATTTCTCATTCGTCAAATATAATTTTTATGTTCTTTGAGAAAGTTATATTTCATGACAGTTTAGTGTAGATCTTTAAAAGTATTTTTATCTACAATTACCACTTATAATTTATGTGAACAGAAACTAATACATCTATACATTTTCTATTACACTATAAAGATTAGAAAGACAGAATACATATCACACTTTTCCTTGTTACTACAATGAGGTATTAAATAATATGATAGAAAAGATAAATACTTCGATTAAAAGCTCTCCGATTTTTCAATGATGCTCTAATCATAATCGTAAGTTTCAGGAATTGTATTACAAAATTTATAATAGTTTGCCTATTTTAATAACAGGAACGTATGCATGCTTCATACAATCACGTCATTTTGATTTCATTACTTTCAATCCCATGTACTTTCTCTTCAAACTCATAATTACATAATTCTTTCAATGAACTTATTCGTATATCTTATTATATACATTTTTATGCATTAAAATATGTGTTTATTCCAGTTTTTTTAACCCTTTGAGTGCGGAGTACTTCAAAAATTAACACTTACAGTGGACAAGACTCTGTTCACGATGATGATAGTCGCAGAACTTTTTCAAGTACCGCATATTGTATGAAATTACTAATTATCTATGGAATGAATAATTCAAGCTTTCATTTGATCTTTTTTTATATAAAGTTGCATAAATATTATTTAGTTTGTTTAATTTTTATTCCCATAATATTATCCGATATTAACATTTGGATGAATCCATACATATATGCGTTCTTAGCACTCAAAGAGTTAATGATTGCGTACGTTTGTGGGTGATTAATGAAATAAATTAACATACACTTCAACTGAAATTTGATTATTATGAACTACTTAGAACGAATATGAGATTTATTCTTAACTTATCCAAAAGTTGTCTACTATTACTTTTATCTGCCAAGATGCAAGCCACAGACAGGACTTTCAATTATAATAAAACATTTTGTTCTTCATAATTGTACCCTAACACACTGATATAATATTGCATGTTATCAACAAAAAATATATATCTTATAATTTTAATATAAAATTGGCAAAAATTTTTTATTTTCTGTGTATGTAAGCACTTAAGTCTTTATTTATATAAAAAAAAAATTATATTTGCCTTTGGGTAGTATTCATTAACATATTACTAAAACTAGCAATTATTATTAACATTATTACTAAAACTAATAATATTAGTTTGATTTCTGTAAACTTTCTTTAATCTAATTATAGTGCAACATGTTATTATGGTTACCTGCATTATTTCAGCAGAAGAAATTGTATGCTCTCGTTTTGCTTCAAAACTAAATATTTGAAAGAGAAAACGCTTTATTTTCTAGATACACAGATGAATTTAATGTACGGGAAGACCTGATGGGTTTAGCAATTGGTGCTCATGGCGCAAACATTCAACAGGCAAGGAAAGTTGATGGAATTACGAACATAGAACTAGAAGAAAATTCGTGCACGTTCAAAATATATGGACAGGTAATTATATAAAATTTTATTTACCCTATACATCCTCATATATTTTCTAAATATCAATCGTTTTTATTTCATTGACCACTCTATTCATTGAAAGTAATTCAGAGTAGTTAAGTAATACAGTGTTATTTGGTTACAGACACACGAAGCTGTTAAAAAGGCTCGTTCCATGCTTGAATATAGTGAAGAATCTATACAAGTTCCGCGTGTTTTGGTGGGCAAAGTAATTGGAAAAAATGGTCGTGTAATTCAAGAAATAGTAGACAAAAGTGGTGTAGTAAGTATATTTATTCTATTATTTGTTACTCTGGTAAGTTATACATTATTATTACAGTATTTTTTTTCCTCTTTTTTGAAACATAAAGTTGTGATACATTTAGTTTACCATTACATTCAGTATGTTTGGTTTGAAGTATACACATACTTTTTTTCTTTTTCGAAAAATTTTTGGACCTTCATTAATTTGATGCAATAATTGTGTACATAAATTTAATCTAGACATCGTATGTGTGTACCTTTACTTTGATAATTAAGTTATTTTGATGCATTTTATTTAAATATATTTAATTGTATTGTCATGTTCTAGTATAATACTTTTGTTGAAAGGAAATAGCTTAATTTATACAATCATATTGTAATGAAAATGGTAATTATTTGCTGTGGGTTGGGTACATGCTATACAAACCTTGTTTGTTCTCGGTAGATAACAACTGGTTCGAGTGGGAATGTATATACTGATAGAGTAAGTATATCATGTTCATTGTTTTTGATTTCTTTCAGTTAGTTCAGTCGAATGAATTATATATTGTTAGGAATATTTTCAAATTTTACGCAGCCCACTCGAGCCAGCCCCACCCAATAATGAAAAATTTCCTTTTTTTCTATTATTAAAAAATTTCATGCCACGCATACGTCGCTCATGTCGATGCATTTGTTTTTCGTCTACAGCTATTTAAACTTTAAAATTATCAGTTGTTTTTGTTTTCAAAAGAAGATTTAAGAATTAACATTTCCGAAATATTGTTTGAGAAAAACTTTTAAATTTATGTAATCCAAATAATTCGTTACAAAACAATATTCAGACAAATTTTACAGCCTGATCTCTAACAAGGAAGGTGATTGAAAATTAAAGGAGTATGGATGTGATATTAGATTAAAAAATTCGTACTAGGATATTTATTAACGATATACTAAACAATATGATTCTGAATCATATAAATTTCAGGTACGTGTAAAAATAGAAGGAGACAACGAACCTCAACCTACAATTCCAAGAGAAGAGGGTCAGGTGCCCTTCGTCTTTGTTGGTACTGTTGAAAGTATTGCTAATGCGAAAATGTGTTTGGAGTATCACTTGGCGCATTTGAAGGTACAATTGAAATAATATACACTCTACTTTCCACATTTCATACTTTTAATATTCCTATTAGTTATATATGTACTATATACAATTTTTTATTACTTGTTTTTAAGGAAGTAGAACAATTACGGCAAGAAAAATTAGAAATTGACCAACAACTAAGAAGTATACATGGATCTACCACGGGACCAACGCCCAACTTTCCTCCAACAAGACGAGGAATGATTGCAGGCCCAGAGGAAGGTGGTGGAGGTCGAGGAGGTCGTGGGGGTCAATCTCGTGGACGTGGTAGCAGGGCTAGAGTTTCTACCAGACACAATGCCGGTAATACTATTACTGACTATATCAAGAATGTAGAAAACACACAAAAACGTAGTGGCAGAACCGGGGGACACAATACCAGAGACAGTAGATCTAACCCAGACCTAGTTAGTTAGTCAATTTGTAGGTCGCACAGTAACCTAATCAAACCAAATCGGGCAGAACCGGTGGACGCAACACCAAAGACAATAGAGAATGCAGAGATTTTAAAGACAAAGGATGTCTTAACACAAAGTAACATTTGATAACTTGTTATTGACGTTAAATCAGTACTAGAATAATTACTATACAATATTCCTAGTAGAAACTCTTTTATTCAGATTTAACATAATGTCGTTTGGCCTGAGTTAACAAAAATGATGATTATTCCTGTTACACTCGTTATTATTTGTAACGTAGTATAATTTGCAGGTGTGAATAAAACACTGGATAGTAACTTTAGGGATTCATAAGTTTCGTTGACAAAAAAAGTTTTAATATCCATATACGTCCAGAAATAAATAATTTTGTTAGCAATTTCAATTGTGAGTCTAATAATATGTAGCAATCAATAATATAAATTCGTAATTAATATATTGTATCTAATACTACTTTTAAGCAACTATTAATTTATAAACTAAAATGCCAATAATATTTGAAACAATTTGTTTCTGGATATATGTTGAGCTTCTTTGTTCTTCAACGAAAAATAAATTTTGAATCTCCAAAGATTATACTATAATTTATTCAAACTTCGTGTAACTTATTCTGCCTTTAATACGTTTACTATGATAGACTCTGCACGCTTCTTGTTGAATTCTGTTAAATTAATTTTTAAGAAGACAATAGTAATTTTATAAAAAAATATTACAGAAATTATAAAGAATTCTTTAATACACAACAAATGTAATAGGACTAACACAAGCGGAGGTATAACAAGAAATGTACATGTCTTATATCGCAGTAAACGTAATAATATATAACAAAATATTCGTTTTCAACACTTCTTGAAAAATTATGTTTACTTGTTTCATGTACATTCATTATTTTTCATTATGTATAACTATAAATACTAATAGTATGTATTACTATACATACAGTAAATAATATTTGCAAATATATTTTCCGGTAACAACTAAAAAAATGTTAAGAATTATTGAGAAAGATTCCAATACACGAGTTTGTCCTTTAATCGATTCTTTAAACTTTAAACTATTCCCTAAATACGAAAAATCTGTAAATCTGTTCATACAAGCATAAAAAATATGGATTAACTATATAAAAAATTAAATACTTTCTGTTTAGTATATTAATACATTTAATATCTTCTGTTTATGTTCGAGTTAGGGGAATTCGGTCTATTTAAATCGAATTTAGTGTGTATTAACTTCTTAGAATGGTTAGAGTTTCTTCATTGTTAAATTACATAGATTTGAAACCACACTTTGCTCTAAACCGTTTCAGTTATTTGATGTTTTACTTGTACATCGTTATTCGTTATTCATTATGTTCGTTCATAATTACATTACATTTCTTTTACTTCAGATCTATAGATATATTAACAATTCGCCGCATTTGTAAACATGTCATTACGCAGTGTATACAATTATGGTACATTAGATACTAATAATAATGACCATATGCATTTGCATGTATGTATTTAATAGAAATGCATGTAATTAAGAAGTATCATATGGTGTGATTGCTTAAAAATTAAATATAATTTTATACCTTATTTTGTGTGCGAATTGTCTAATATAATATATTCTACCAATAATTAATATTACAAAGTAACAAATGGTTTGCGAAAAATGTATAGTACTGTATGACGGTATTTAATATTTCATTCAACTTATGATACACGTATTGTAGGATGGAAGATGAAAAATTCAACATAATAATATATTAAATTTAATTAACTTTATTAACTCTAACTATTAACAAAACTGAATGTTAATGCCGTAGATTGTTTAAAGTTGCTCAGAAACAGCTATTATGTTATTCTTTTTATTAATAATGTATTTAAATACGTTTTGTAATAAAACTTGTCTTGTAAAACACCTCCAATTGAATCTGATTTTTATGGTAGAAGATTTAGTCAATAATTATTACATACATTTTGCAAGTACTATCAGCTATTTTAATGTAGTTAAATACAATTTTCTCGTGCCACATAAGTTGATACAAGCATAATAATAATCAGGGAAAGATTAAAAGATTAGTGAACTTAATTTCTCAAGATGCTTCTTCATTTCCTATTAATACCTTTAATTCTTATAATGGTGAGAATTGTTATTAACGAGTTAGATTCTACATTGATCATCATCTACTACAAGTAAGAACACTAATCTTTCATGATTACATTTGATTTACAAAGTCATTAAAGGTATCCTGTTTTCATCATGTTCTGTTCATGTATTTGCATTTAATGTTTGTTATAAATCATATTCAATTTATAGGATTGCGTCGAGATACTTTAGATGGTAGTGAAGATCGTGTAAGAGATCTACCTCCAAGAGGTGGCCACCAAGGTAGTGCCGGAAATTCAGGATACATGGGTGGCAGACAAGGTCGTCCTCCACCTCAACGTAGAGATCGTAGGGACGAACGTCGTCGAACTACCGATGATGAAGACACGGTTCTTGATAGCCAAGATGTTTCAAGCATTGATAGAGGTAATAGCATTACTTCAATACTATTCTACACTAGACCAACCGTTTCGTCCTAAAGAGAATCAAATATTAAATTAAAATGCTTTTGAGAGTGGCATGGATTGTGAAGCAAACACTTGTGACCATCTAACACTAACAGTATCAACGATGACTACTAATGCACGCTACTAACATATGCAGTAGCTTAATTTACACTTGATTAGGTATATGTATATTTAAACACTACATTCTTCATAATGAAATATAAAAAAAGATGGTCACAGTGGTTTGTCTATGCATAGAATCTGTATCAAGTGTGGAGGCAGGACCTAAAAGCATAAGGCGAAGACGACTTCGACGTTCTCGGCAACGTAGTTCTACACCAACAAATAATCAGAGAGGTAACTATATCTAAAAAATATAATGGAATCCCTTTAGGACGATCGGTTTTAGTAAGGTCTATTAAGTACAGTATTAACCGTTTGCACTCCAGTATAGTCAAATGGGAACCACTTCAGTCGAGTGTTTTGGTCTGTTGTCGCTATAGAGGAACCATTTATATAAAAAGTAGTTTGTTACAAAATTAACCGTTAAACAGCATTTATTTATTTTACGGAGGTTAGTCTGCACGCCAATGTCTGTAATAGGAATAATTAGTTTGATCGCGTACAAATCATACAGATGTTCTATATCTTATGTATGGGCATTTGAATAAAAGTATTATTATAGTTGTTTGTTCCAGAAATTAATTTCTTGCCGAAAGATTGTATATTTTCTATTTTTCGAAACAATCTTTTGATGATTTGCAGGCATATGTCAGATACAAATAATAAATCTACACTTTTACACGAGTAAGATATTTTTATGACATAATACATTTTTCAATTAAACTTAATATCTTTAATACGTTGGAATCGTAGTATGAACTTGCTTTTACGTAAAAAAAAGAGTAGAATTGGTAGGCGCCTAATTTGTCAGAAAAATTGGACCGCAACCGGTTAAGTGTGTACATTTAAATCAGTTTTAAGTTTCATACAGAAATATTCAAAGTTAATCTATGCATTTGTTTAGGCAGCAATGCCGGCCCAGGCGACCAATCAACAGTAACTAGTAAAGAAGGAACACCAGCAAATGACATTTCTGCTACTAACAACAGTTCCCAAGGGCCCAAAGGCCAAAGAGAACCACGGGTACGCCCTCCTCGTATGCAACAGAGCAATAAGCCTAAGGAAGCTCTGGTTAATGGTACCAGTGGCTAAATAACCATTGTGGTCAACACCTGCTACTTATGTATAACATTACACCCGATGAGAGCTATTAACACCCAGCACATAACATGACGCATACCTACGCAAGGACTACACGATTATGGAACGCGACATGATTAGTCTACGCTCGTTGTTAAGACTGTTTGCTACCGATAAGAATACGACAATTGTTTAAGAAATCGTCATTCTCCTTAAACACATTTAAGGACACATATTAATATCCATGCATGGTTTAGTTTAATGATAGTAATTATGCTATCATGTTTGATATATGGATACATTCATTGGGAGGTAGTAGAAGCATTTGGTAAAAAGGAATCCCCTGATTGTGAAACTGTGCCTCATTTTTATACCGAGCTCCCAACTTGTGTGACAGCAATTTGGACGTACTATAAAGTACCTCTTAATCACTTGAAATGATCCAATAATAGGCTGGATATACGTGGCTCGTACGTCAATTATCAATTTGAGCAATTTTCGTCTAGATGTGTCGCTATATTTATTGCAAGAAAATACAATACGTACGGAAACACATAATGTCATCAATTTCAATGTTCTTTCTATGTTTCCTTCATGAATTCTTGTTATAAAAAGTTTTCAATATAGTTAAAGCTATATTACGTATAGAGGTACGAATTTCGTGTTATTTTGTATTCGTTTTTTCTCTTTTTTTTTTTTTTTAAGCGACACTTGAGCCCACCTGCTGAAACTGTTTTGCGACATAACTAGGACGAAACTTATTGTGATGCAGGAAAAATGGATTTCCGTTGTTAGACATAACAATGGTAGGCGGCAGCTGCATGAAATCTGAGTTAAAAGGTGTTCCCAATGATGTTCCTTCTATTTACTTCACAAGATTGAGTTTTTTTTTTGGTTTACGATTATTAGTAGAATTATTTAACGACACTAGATTTTTATGTTTCCATGCTGAGTGTTGATTAATAATACCATGATGAATGCTAAAATGACTTATTTGATTGTAAAAGAACACAAATGGGTGTGCACAAGAAGTCGGTTTTTATTTCCGGGTTCACTTTCACGTAATTTAGTCTTTTTTTTTTATTACAGTCTAAGCATACTATATCAAATATTAGGATTTGATATAAAGTTCTTTTCCGCATTGTTTCGCATGATTTAAAAGGAAAGTAAACGTATACTTAGTAATACCAATGTATGATGTGCCAGAGAAGGAATGATACATGTTTTATGATATCTAGCTGAAGTGCAGACTTAGCGCATACCTTTATTACTATAATACTACTTAGTCGAAATGTGGATGTCTGAGAAAATAAAGTAGCTTTACTATACTAAGCTATAAAATAGATATGGCAAACTGTTTTAAATTGACTATCAGTGAAAATTAAAATTCAAATGTCAATTTAAAACACTTGTCTCTTCTTCCGGATATGACAACAACTAATCGGACGTGTCTCATGGATTTTGCAAAAACGCATGGCGGTTGATGCAACACTTGACACCAACAAAACAGCTGCCATTTTATCTGAATATTCTTATGGCGGCCAAAAACTGAGATATCCCCCAACTTGCTTGTTTCAGATACATTTGTATTGATTGCAGTTTGTGCATAATTTAAGAATAAAACATTTCTGTACATAGAGCGGTCATTAGTACGGTGAACCACAATTTTTCCAAAACATTAATAATCATTTTCTAATCTTGTCACTGGTTTTAAAATATAACCTTCATCCCTATCCTCGCATATAAATTAAATAGTTTATATTATGTAAGCAGTATTCTGGATATACATATTCTTTTCGAATATTAGTTTCCATTGAGCAGTGCATGTTAGTTTTAACGATTTGATTCGGATTTGCAAAAAAAAAAAAGTAATATTTGGGACACGTTATACATATATATATATATAAGTAATTCAGGTACTATTTATTATGAAAATTATACATATACAATGATAGTCAGTTTACTTATCAATTTGTAACTTTGTAGAAGTAGACGCAATTTTACCTTTTATATCTTTTATTGCTCTATTTGTTGTGTCAATCTCTCTCTCAATTAATTCTCTATGTGTTTATGGCTTTTTATAATTTATAAAGTCGATAGTAGAATTAAAATTGTTTTGCTTAATGAATATTCTAAGACGTGCGTTTTATGCACATTATTACAGCTACAAAGTTATACGACAGGTATTATAATAAAAGAAGAAGTTTTAGATGCATTGCATCGAGGTATAAAAATTGAGGTAATTATATCGACTTCGATTGGGGTGTAATAACCCATTATTTATATAGATATATATATATATATATATATATATTCGGTGATCACTGCGATAAATCACCGTCAGTGATTTTGCACGCCATCTCTAACTGAAATCGTTTTGTAATTTGTAGTTTAGAAAGTGGGGTCATAGAACCCCCCGGTGTAGCGCTAGAGACCCGTATTGTGAGATGGTGGGGGTCATAGAACCCCTGGAGGAGGCGCCAGAGGCCCAGGTGGTAAGAATGTGGGGCCATAGAACCCCCACAGATGGCGCCAGAGACCCCGTGTGGTGAGAGCGTGGGTTCATAGAACCCCCAGTAGACGGAGAGCACCGATACCACGGCACGCTGTACCGTACTCTCTCGTTCGCACACCTCCTCCCAAAGACCACTGAAATTCCTGGGACGCGTCACACCGACGGAGAGCATCGATACCGCGGCTCGCTCTACCGCTCTCGCTCGCACGCCGTGACGTCACCTGATTCCCGGAATCCCGCGGCTACGAGATACAAAGGAAATTGTAAACCGCCGGCCAAAAGGTAGATTTGATAGACTATTTATGAAGCAACATCTATTCTGAATTTGTCTGTTACAAATATACAAATGTAAGGCAAGATATAAAAACGAATAAAACAAGAACATGTAAAAGTAACATTAATAAAATGTCCATTAACGATGCATTTAGAATAAATTGTCGTGTAGATAAGTAAAAAAATATATACTTTTCTGTTTCATGGTTCATGACTGTCATATTTATCCCTTAACCTTAAACTGAAGCATCGGATATTTTTATTCCCGTCAAATCGTATAGATACACGCAATATGAATTAAATATATAACACTTCATTTGAGCTAATAATACTCAGAATTCATACTTTATCGGTAACATCGGGTATTGACACCAACATGGTAACAGGGTTACATAGCCTTATGAACGTGGGACAGAAAAAAACATTGGATGATAGGTGTATTCTATACCTAATCGGTGGTTATATAGTATACAGTGAAGGAATAATTAGAAACAATGAAGAATAATGAATAAATTAATGATTATAAATTATAATCTACATGTTACCTAGACTAGAGTCGGCTATAGTACAGCATATAGTTGCCCCATTCTTATTGGTCCTTACTGTTGATGTCCATTGATGTTCGTTACACTGGTTACACTCTGCCCATTACCACCCATTACCCTCGTCAAGATTTATGAACTATGTATACATATATAAGATACAGGGTGAATAACAAGAAATCGTGAAATACTTCTTACAGATTTTTAATTATTTACAAGGAAAAAGATATGTAAAACAAAAGTTGAATGATCTTGAAAAAAAACAAACATAATTTCCTGTCAAAATTATCAACGGATTTTTAAATGAAACTTATTAGTTATTTCTTGTTTTTAAATTCACTATTAGACATTTAAAGAGTTCTGTCTCTCATTACTTTTCCTGTAGTGTTTGGCTATTAATTTTGCAACTATTTTTACTAAGATTTTTTAATAGTACTAAATACAATTTATATAAAAAAATTTTGTGTAAAAGGTATGAACAATACTGGAATTATTTTTAAAATTAAATTAGGTAATACACTTTTTATTGTTCATAAATGAGAAGAATCAATGAATTACGAGTTTTATTATTGATTACAAATCTATTTAATTTAATGGTAAAAAATAAGTTGTACATCACTGAAACAAATTTGAACATCATGTATCATTTTTAATGATAAAATCAAGTTATGTTTACATTGTGTACAATTGGGCAATCATTTTTTTTATATCAGATTATTACTTTATTAGATCGTTGCAAGAAGGTACTTTGAAGATCTAATTTCGTTTCTAAATATTCCGATTGTCGTTCATTACACTAGACAATGATATTTCTAGTATATTTAAGTTAGTCGACAAAATAATGCTACAATATATTTGTTTAGAAAAATATATTTTGGGAAATTACATAAAGTAGGATAATTGTGTTTTTACATATGAAATGCATAATTTCCTTCTTTATTAATTTACCTATATTCAGAATTATTTATGAAAAAAGGTCAACAATATTTCTCTATAGGTACTTAACCCTACATAATAAGAAAAAAATTCAACGTTATTTTTCGATTAAAACCAACAAAATTGCAATGAAAATTGTATTCTATGATAAATAGGGATTACTATGAAAAACCACAGAAAGAATTGTAACTACTTAACAAGAACGGAGAAAATTATTTTACTAATACTATAAAAAGAATGGAAATTTTGCAATCACTAGTTGAAATAGAAAATTACAGTGCAAAATTAACCTTACACAAATTTTAAATATGTACAAACCAGCAATACCAGTGTTACCATTATTTCTTTCTCAGAAATGTGATTGAAAAAGAAATTACATTATTTTATAATTGCCATAATCATTATAATAAATAGTTTTCATTGCTTAACAACGTTTGTGTTCAAGATATATTACAACTTTTATAGTGTTTACGCTATAAAATCATTTATAGTTTATAATTAGCTCCTAAATCTTAATATAATTAAGCTTTGTTCGTTGCCATATATCTCTGTACTCTGTTTCGTATTTCATAATTTTCTTGAACTTGTTTTCAACAACAGAACTGCACGAAACAAGAGATTAGTTGTTACATGTTAACAGAATGACATTATTTCAGCATTACATATTCTTGAATCACAAAATAAATTATTTGTAATAATTAAAATAAATTAATTGAGTAAAGCATGAACTAACAAGTGTAAATAGTTACATTATTCATTACTTTGTACTACAGAAATTTTTGGTAATGTCATACACTTGAAATGTTGTGCTACATAAAGTTAACTTTCTTTCCAGAAATTAAAATTTATCGAAGCATACGAGAATTCTAAGTAAAGTTTGTAAATTCATCTCAATAATTTTCGTTATCACATATTTTATTTACTGCTTTTCATTGAATCTCTGTAAATTTCATGTCAAAATCTTTTAATTATGACAAAGTATAAGAAGTCTTACACCACTCATTTTTATAATATTGTTTCCAGCAGTTCTTCAAATAGTACAGATCTACTGACATACAAAGATTTAGGAATTTTTTTAAGTCTCTGTAATGTTACATTAAATGAAATCCAACAACACGATCAATATGCTCATTGAACAATTAAAAAGCTATCACCTGTGATGGATTTGTACAGTCTCCTATTGTCATTCTATACATAGCCATCTCAGTTATTCCATGGTAATGAACGAAAGCAGCTGCAATTACCAATACATGGAAAATTTGGTGACTCTGAAACTAAATAATAGAATGCTTGGTATTGCATAATAAGAAAACTTAAATTTATTTATCATGTAATCATGATATTCAAAAGTATATGTTTACCCAGATATCAAATTTTCCAGGGAAAAATCGTTCAGGTACTCGTAATGCATAAAACATTGCACCCAAGATGTATAGACATCCCATTAATATTAACCACCCAAGAGATGCTTGACTAATTGCTTTAAACCAGCCCTCTGCTATAGCATAATGAACAGCTGGTATTACCTACAATCAAACATTGATTTTTAATGTGATAGTACGTAACGTAATATTAACAAGTGATTTATTGCTACATGTATGACTTACCCCACTGAGACCAAATCCCATAAAAACTCCTGCTCTCAGTGGTCTGTAACTTGGTTCACCAAATCGTTCCCATAGTGACACAACAATACTTGTTACACCAAGTATAACAACCACAGACAAGTAAATAAGTTTAGGTTGATAATCACAGTAAAAACCATAGTAAAGCCATGGTACAAAACTACCCATGATTAGCATAGCTATTCCACAATAATCTAATTTTGAAAACAACTTCCCAACGCATTCGCTGTGGCAGTGTACTGTGTGAAAGGCAAATGACATCCCCAGACATATAATAGCACCAGCAAAGAAAGTAGCAAATACCAGTTTCTCTTCCAGTTGTATCTCTATAGGAGGCTGAGTTATGAAAAATATAGCTATGCCAATAAATGCCACGCATCCTAAACAATGCAGTTCATTCGTTAAAACTTAATTGATCAACAATATCACTTGTTAAAGCAACGTGTATAAATAAATGGCATATAAAATATTTGTGAATATAACACAAAAATATTACCAAGTAAATGGGTCCAAATATTTCCAGTTTCTGTATGAATTCGAAATATACTTTTAAAACATGCATAAAACGATGGTAAAGGTGGTCTGTGACCAGCATGTAAGAAATCATTATCTTGTAACCATCTTGGAAGGTTTCTGAAGTGACACTGTTTCCATGATGCTTCCCACACCTACAATTAACAGCTGATTACTGCATTTCTTAACACTTTTATTTTTATAAATTACAGTTATCAAATAAATATCAATGAAGAAATACACATATGTAGATATAATACATACCTTACGAACAAATTCTTCAGCCTGCTCAGCAGCATTATGTGCCAATGCACCAAGGTCAATTTCATCACTTAATACTCCAGCTTTGAGGACCTCTGTCATCTGAAGAATTCAAAAGTAAATAAATAAGATACTTAAATTTTATCAGATCATAATATGAACTTATAATTTTATACCTCACAATCCAAAAGATGATCATCTTCTGGGGTTGATGGTAAAGGACAACCAACTCCATCTTCTTCTTCGGCTAAACAACTTGCATCATCATCATCCAATAATTCTTTAACTTCGTGTAAGCCTGGTACTTCACTACTCAATGATACACGATCACTCCATGGTATTCTATGACGAATTCCTGACTCTGCTGTACTAATGTCATCATGTCCTTTGTCTTCTATAATAGCATCCTCGTATTGGGACATGTTCTATAGTAGTTTCAAAATTCTAAAATGAATCATAAAATTATTGACAGATTTAGCATTGTAATTTTAATATTGGTTATAACACAGTTATATCGTACTACACATTTTAACACACAAATGTGACCACACATTGACACATCATATATTATGATAAACAGGATATGTACTGTTATCAACAATTCTGCTACAAAACTGATCACTTCTAGAAATTAACCAGAAAATGAAAGGAAGCTAGGATCGTATAATTATGTAATGGTTCTGAATAAAATATTTAGATGGTTTGAAATCAAGTAACAAATTGAAAATTATCTGACTAAAGTAACCAACTAGATGTAGAATGATTTAAATGAAATATTAACTGCTTACAAAAGGTCATGACTTCTTATATAATGAATTGCGATAAATATACACATACATCAACAATTGTAGAAAAGAAAATGTTGATGGTTATTCGATTGATTTACGCAGATTGCGGACAATTTACTCCGATAAAACAAATTACATTAACTACGCAGTACACAATTCCACGAAAGATGGTATACATAATAAACTAGACACTATACAAAAAAGCATAATAGTTTCGTAAAGTACAAAGTTCAATTGACTGATTGAACAGAAGACATATACCTGCGTATAGCTTATAAACGTACCCGTCACACGATGACAGTTCATCAAACTTTCGCATGTACGTTGAACAAAATATAAAGTGCAACGGTAAGAAATAGATATTAAAATCGTTCAACACATGTTTTGAATGGTACAAAATATTTTATGCGACTACTAATTTTCAGTTGTTCATTGCTACGACAGGAGTCGTGAATAGCCGAATAATGGATACCACGTGTCACATTTATATACTAAATATATAGTTGTTATCGGTAGTAGTCACTTTACGGCAATACAAATGCATATAATATTACTTATACAAAAAGGCGTTTGAATTAGATAATGTTAATTTTAGTTCTTGACATCAAATATACTTCACTGAATTTAAATTGATAAAAATTATAAAATCACAGATTTGATTATTTTAATGTTTTTTTTGAAATGTTAAATCAAATTCACTGAAGAGAAAGAATTTTCCTAATTATAATTACTTACGTGTTAATCAGTAAAATACCATCGATTTCAGTTAATGTGGTAAGCAATTTGCTAATTATTATATACTTCGATATATAACTTTCATCTTTTCTTAAATACAATGTTGGCACGGTATACTATATTTTTGTAAATGTATATATGTAAGTAGAAATCGAATTCTCTACGACGAACTATTGTGAAGAAAATGGGAGAATGAACGTATGAATGCGGTTACCATGAAATAAAAGTATACTAGAAATTTCTAAACGATTTACAAGGATCAAAGCATTGTTCTTTTAATTTAATCATTATTATATCTAGATAGAACTATTGTATATCTATAGGTATACAATATATATATACATTTATATATAAGGTATTCAACGTATCCAACTATTTAATCTGAATGCTTCTATTACTCACCGTAGTATAGGTATATATTCATAAGTACAAGAAAATGGTTAAAGAAATAGGTGTAAGACTTATGAATCCGATATTATGGTTGACAAAACAATTATATTAATATCATATTTTTGTCAATTTTAAAGTCATTACGGACGTTTATACTAAATATGTGGATTACTTTTACGTTCTGGTAAGAAAATTTCAGTAAATTCATAGAGTGTCGCTGATACATGTATCAGTGACAATAATGCTTTATCAACAAGAATCTGATCTTGACTTAATTATGTTATCAATTATAATGTCATGTACTTGTTTCTAATCTCTGTTGTCTCATCATTAGAAAATATTTTACTCAGTTCATGAGAATATTTATCTCAGCTTTATAAAGATATTCTGATAATAGATCATTGTCTTAATTTTTATAAGAATATTTCGAGAATAAAATAGTATATAAATAGATAATTAGGGATCAATATGTTACGATAGCATTGGATTCCACAAATCTTATATTTAGGTTTTAATCATTTTCTCATGATATTAAAAAGAACAGAAATATATTTTGGGTGGTCATATTAACCAGGAAATCCTGTACAATAACAATAACCGCATTTGAAATTGTTGTTGCCACGTGTTACTGCGGTTTCTTCGTGGCATAACCTGAATATAAGTAATTGGAAAGAATGTTTATTTACTAATTGAAGTACGAAAAACGATGATCTCGATATAATGTGTAATGATTTAGGGATTATTGCTTTATAATTAATATCATATAAAATTATAAAAAGATTTAAACAACATGAAAAAAAACAAAAAAAGGAAATAATAATCCCTTATTTATTTCCGAATAATACATCATATATGCATACGTGATGAATATAAATGGTACTAAGAATATTAATTTAAATAAATGTTAACAGCAAAAGTAATGAGATATTTATAATGACGGAGTTAGAAAATGGAATACTCTCGAAATTCATATACATTGCAATTGTTGTTTCAGCATATTGGTAAGTCAACAATATATTCAAACATGTGACATTTATCATTTGTTCAGGTTAACAATTTCATTCATCCGTTTGAATGTTCTTTCAGGATAATTTCTATATTAACAGTATTTATAAATAAAGCTCTTTTATCCAGTGATAGTATAAATCTGGATGCACCTCTTTTTGTAACATGGTGCCAATGTATAGTAAGCTTAATTATTTGTGTAACTCTTAGTAATCTATCCAGAAGGTTCCCAAGCTATATTAAGTTTCCTGAGGGTAATCCATATTGTAAGGAAACTCTTAGGAAGGTAATATTTATAATGAAACTGCTAAGCTATCTATGGGGTAGAATTCTACTTTATCATACATAGCTCCTAAGAATCATTTCTACTTTGATTTGATTGTTTAAATGTACAAAATACTGTTTATTTTATAACTATTGATTATTGAAGGTAGATATCTACTCCACGTAAAGTTTAGTGAGGCCATAAAAAATGGTATTATGCAAAAGACTGATAAATTATTACTCTGCTATTAAAACATGTTTATAATTGTGCTACTTGTAGGTATTACCTCTGTCCCTTTTATTCACTGGGATGATTGCAACTAACAATTTATGTTTAAAATACGTTGATGTTGCATTTTATTATATAGGACGTTCATTAACAACTGTATTTAATGTTGTTTTCACCTACCTTATACTTGGTAAGAACCTTCATCAAGTATCTAAAAAAAACGTTCAATCTAATGTACTATTATAATTTCACAGGTCAAAAGACTTCTACAAAGTGTATTGCATGTTGTGGATTTATTGTCATTGGTTTCTGGCTAGGTGTAGACCAAGAACATATTGCAGGTTCTTTATCTGTCTTAGGAACAATCTTTGGTGTACTTGGATCCTTAACACTTTGTTTATATTCCATCCATATGAAACAAGTGCTTCCTAAATTAAATCAAGACATTTGGCTACTTTCTTACTATAATAATGCGTATAGTGTTATTATATTTCTTCCATTAATGGTAGCTAATGGTGAACACATTACAGTATATAATTATGATAAAATTGGATCCTTATTTTTTTGGTCTGCTATGATTGTTGGTGGTCTTTGTGGGTTTGCTATTGGCTATGTTACTGCACTTCAAATAAAAGTGACATCCCCATTAACACACAACATTAGTGGAACTGCTAAAGCCTGTGCACAAACAGTATTGGCAACTTACTGGTTCAATGCAGAAAAGTCGTTTATGTGGTGGACAAGTAATGCCATTGTACTTGGAGCTAGTGCAATGTATGCTAGAATAAGACAACTTGATTTGAGTAAAGAGTACAGAGAAGAAAGGGAACAGTTGAAACTGTAATAAAATATGAATAACAGGATACTGAAATAGGTTGAATAATTTTATACATATCTGCCCAGAAGAAAAGTACATATTTTATGTGGATACACGAGATCTTATAAAAAATTTTGGGAACTTTATATATAAATCATTTATTACTAATCTTAATAATAAATCCATAGGATCACCATGAAGGTAATCTCCTTCTGCAGTCTGGAACAAAGACTTCAATGGTATATGAGGAGGATACTTTGAATGTAATCTTATGTAATTATTGTTAATATTAATAATAAGTGATTTATACATAAAATCCCTGAACTTTATGATCAGACCTTGTATACAGACCTAAAATAATATAACTATCATTTATGACATCTTAAGTTTTATTATATGAAAATTTGTATAAAAATAAGTCTCGAATTAATGTTAGACTACTTTTATAAAGTAAAGTGTTAGAAAAAATAAAAACATTCTTAAAATCTTGATGCAAGACCACCTCCCCGACTGTCTGAATGACTGGACATTAAGTCTTTTCTTTTTATGATTGCATTCACACTCTTTAACGGCAAATCTGTAACCGTGTGTAGCGCCGGTACCATCGCGTTTAATTGATTTTGTAGCAGAATATTTACAGAATGTTTCTGATCACTTTCCACAGCAAGTCCATCAGATGAGAAATAATATCTTAAAAAAAATAAAAACATTGGTACCACATTATAAAATGTTTTGATTTAACTACAACAAAAAACGCCCACTGTAATATGAAACATTTTACTAAATAATTTTACTTAGATTTCGTACCTTGGATATTCTATAGCTTCAGAAATGTTTAATTCACGCACGATAATACTGTATAATAATTGTCCTATAATTAATGCATCATCTGTTCCAAAAACTCCTCTCAATCCACATAATACTTTTTCATTATGAAAAATTATTGGAGAAAGCATAGACAGACTATTATTGGTATCAGTTTTATCCAACAGGAAGCCAGCATTTGACATCTGTCCAAGACTAAATGGTGAACTAAGTCCACTGTAATATATTTAAGTAAGTAATTGGTTCAACGATTTGCGCAAACAGTTTCTAATACTAACGTTATGATACAAACGTAATTGTCTTCCCAGTCCATTGCCATAACACCGGTGTATTTTTCTTCTTCGGCTATAATAAGTATTTGGTTAAATGAATACTATAAATTTACAAGGTGTTTTAATTAATATCACTGCACAAAAATTATGATCTTTTCTCGATTGTTACAATAACATTAAAGACTAAAAGTTATAAGATTATAAAGTTTACAAACCGTTTTGCTCTGACTGTAGTGGAACAAAAATTGAATGTATTAATGTTTCAGCTATTTCAACTTGTGCTTCTATTGTAGATGTATTTTTAGTAGATATTTTCATATTTTCTAATGATGCAATCATTGATTTTACCAAAGTCATGTGTGGTGCATAATATACTGCATGTTTATAGAAACTGGTTTTCTTTGCTAGATATACATGAGGTTTATAATTTGATAATTGTTCAAGTAGCTTTGAAGGCTCATCTTTGTCTTGTAAAAGCTTCTGTGAGAAGGATCCATTGTATAGCACTACAGAGAAAAGATATAAACGCCTATATCAATGTAACAATGTACTGTTAACATACTGAAAGTATAAAAGTACCCTATATACCATTAGAACCATGTTGTGCTGCAGCAATTAATAGATCAGCTAAATCTTGTAATTTTAATGTATCTCCAGCACTAAGATGTCCATACAAAATTTCATAGCCAATATTTTTTGATATTTCACTTGCTAATTCCTTGGATACAACAAAACCTTCTTTAGCCAGAATTACCGAAGGCTTAACAATTTCGCTCCATGGTAACTTCCCTTTCAACTCGTGTGCATGTTCTAATCCTTTTAATACAGCTGGTACACGCACTCCATTTTGCGCAAAAATACCTAATACACAAATTATACGGACAATATATTCTATTTGTGAAACTGTTTTAAATATGTGTCTACCTTCCATAAGAAATGTATATACCTTCAGTGGTATTATTTGCAAAGTCAATAATAACTGGACTTGCTTGCTCTCTGTGATTGTATATCATAATATAGCCACCCCTGAAATTGTGACCATAAAATAGAACAAATAAAAGTAAAATAATGTCTACGACTTACCCACCCAGACCAGTCTTATGTGGAGCAACTACTGTCATACAAATGGTAGCTGCTACAGCAGCATCCATTGCATTGCCACCCTTCCTTAATAATTTGGTTCCAATTTGTGAGCAATTTGTGTAGTCAGTTGCAACTGCTCCATGAATACCAGCTTTATCCTAATATAAAACATTACTATAAATGATGTTTAAAATGCTTTTACCTTTTTTTCTATAATTGTTAACATACCTGAGGAGTTTCCTCTGCATAGAGTATTTGCAAAAATAATGTTGTTGTAATAGAAATGGTCAATATAGCAAAGCAGCTTATAATAAATTTCAAACCATCTCCACAGTATATACTTAACTTATATTTATAACTTCTAGTCTTTGTCAAAGGACATTCTTCAGTGGGACCTTTGGAAATTAAAATTACAGATATAATGCAACAGGTTGTGTGTAACTTTTGCATATGCTAAATATTTTTAGAACTACCTATTGGTAGGAAACATATTTTTCATAATTTTTTTGTTAATTTTAAGTCATCTTTATTGCAATATACTTTACCATAAGATTAATTAAAATAACTTTCTTCATTTGATTAAGTTACTGATAGCATACTTTATATATTTAGGTTAAAACTGAGAATTGTTAGGATCAACAAATATTTATAAAAAGGTACAATTTTCCGTCGATATTGAAATGTATTCGAGGGTAGTAGTAAAAAGAGCAATATTTATTAATACATTTATGAACAAAACAGCGCGGAACTTGTGAGTGTCAATTAATGTAATAAGTAAATATTAATATGAACAAGGTTATGGTTAACAATTAAATACTTATAAAATTGTTTATTAAACAATCAATGTAAATAATACTTACGAGAATTATTGTACCGCATTATGAATGCATGGGCTGATTCGAATAAAAACAATTAAATGACAATGAGACAGTGCTGTAGAGTTCAGAAAATATATTACATTGTATTTGTGTAACTGTAAATTTGACCTGCTTTTTACATTGTAATACTTATTACATTAGTATGGTATATTTAATATAATGAAAAAATTGAAAAATTCTACCACTTTTACTTAATCTTTGTGTTATAACTTAATATAAACATTTCTATTTATTAGATATATATTGAAACAGTGGTTTTATAAAAGAAATGAGAACAACATATGAAAGAAGAAATATGTTTATTGTCTTTTATAACATTTTCACATCATTTTTATTGACATAAAATATACAAAAATATTAAAATGACAGTTGATATAGTAGAAATATTAAAAGAGCCACGGATGATAAAAGTATGTGCACCAATGGTGAGATATAGCAAGTAAGTGGTAATATATATATATAATTTACAGTAATATATTGGTTTTATTTATTTATGGTAATAGATTGAACTTTGTTTAACAGATTACAATTCCGAACTTTGGTAAGACAATATGATTGTGACATATGTTTTACACCAATGATTTTAGCTGATTCATTTGTACAATCTGAAAAGGCAAGGTACAATGAATTTTCAACAACTAATGAGGACAAGCCACTTGTCGTACAATTTGCTGCAAAAACTGTTCATGATTTCTGTAATGCAGCAGAGATGGTTTCTCCGTAAGTTTTCATATAAATACTATTGGATGAGAGTAACCAATTCTATCAATTTTATGTAATAATTCCTCCTCCGTAAAACTTGTTATTCGTTGTTTGGGTTCTTATTATGCAAAACTGACAGAATTTGTACACTTAATCTTTTAATATAGGAAATGAGTTACCAGAAACAGATCATTTAAATATCTCTGTTAATTCTTATATTTTTAAATCTGATAGAGATATTTAGTTGTTCTGTTCCTTATGACTCACTCTCTTTAGATTTTGGTATATAATTAATCAATGTGTTGGTAGGTATTGTAATGGTGTTGATCTGAACTGTGGATGTCCTCAACGTTGGGCAATGAAAGATGGGTATGGAGCTGATCTGCTGAGAAAACCTGAACTTGTAAAAGACTTAATATATCAAGTGAGAAGTAGGATACCAAATCCTTTTACTGTGTCTGTGAAGATACGATTACTAAAAGACATACGAAAAACTGTCGAATTCTGTAGAGTTCTCGAAAAAGCAGGGGCTTCTTTCCTCACTGTTCATGCTAGAACTCCTGAAATGAGAAACGAACCGATAGATCTTGATAATTTAAAGGTAGTAAGGGACACTGTAAAATTACCTCTCATTGCTAACGGAGATGTGAAGAGCTTAGGCGGCGCAGAAAAGCTTTTTGTAGAAAGTAATTGTGATGGAGTGATGTCTGCACGGGGAATCCTAACAAACCCAGCCCTTTTTTCTGGACAATCTGTTACACCCCTTAGTTGCATACAAGACTGGTTAGATATTACATCAAAGATACCAACTCCATTTTTATGTTTTCATCATCATTTGGTATTCATGTTAGAAAAATTACTTCCAAAGAAGAGTAGGATATACTTCAATAACTTACAGAGTCAGTTAGCGGTTTTAGAATTTCTAGATGATTATTATGGTTTAAAACCGAATCTAAATCCCAAATTATCCAGACCAATTGAATGCATTTTCAATACGTCGAATGTGGAATGTAATAATAAATATGATACAGAGGAAGAGGAGGATCAATGTGTACATTTTCTGGGAAATATGTTTGGAGAATCATGAATCTATTCATGTGTCTTTACATATTCTTATAAGAGTACGAGTATTAATAAAGATAATTGAACTTTAATGCAATCAAAGTAGTTAGGTACGTATTATACTTAATGTATGTGTATAAATAATTTAATTATACCGAGCTTTTATTTGATAATTGTCATTTAAATTAAAAAACTAGTTTCAAATTATGGACACCAGGTGCGCCACAGACCAAACATGGTACGTGTTTTGCTTCATAACCGCGAAATTTCTCAAATTTCAGGAATTCGTTGTTATTTACCTTGACGGAAAGAGTACTGTAAGTGGATTTATTAAAGAAATGTAAACAGTTGAGTCTAGAATATTGATGCAACGAGATGAAGCGTTTTCAATTGAATTGCTCTGATTTCTGGATATTAATACAAAATGGTAATGTTCCAAAAGAGTCTTTTTAAGCTTTCATGATTAATAATTTGAATTGTAAAATGCAATCATTTTAATGTACATAGATTTCACATACATAATATGATTTTGTTAATACATAACAGTGTTTTTTATACTAATAAATAATGTATTTTTACTTAATTATAAAATTATTGTATTAAATTCCTTGGAAATACTACAATTTATTTTTTTTATTTTTGTGTATAAGATTCGATCTCTGGCACCCAGTCAAAGAAGTAAGCGTCCACTGCTCTCTGATATATCCAATAATGTATCTCCATCTCCTATTGTGCTACAAACACGCCAGACAAACAAGAGGGTTTGTCGTAATGTCAAAGATGTACAAATAGCAGAATACAAACCCATTACTCTTTCAGCTAATGATGTACAAACAACACAAGAAGTAATTTCTGAACATGTAAGTATTGCCACATAAAAAAATTATTTGTCATTAACAAACATTAACATGTTATATGTTTTAAATCAATCTATAAAAATACAATTATAATGCAATTTGTGTAAAATTCGTACTTGTAATTTATAAAATGATTGTCTGAGTTTATAGGAAGAAAGAGTAAAAAAACTTCTCAGTAAACCTTTCAAGATTCCAATACCTGGTTATCAACTTTCGGGTCGTGCTTTAGGAATACGTTTATCTGGTCCACGTAGACCATTACATGATCCTGATGAAGCAAATGCTCTTATTGTTTATTCACCACCAGAATTGTCAGAACATGATAGATTGAAAGTAGATCTGTACGTTCAAAATCAGTTCTTTATAAAAATGATCCATGTTCAGAAAGTCTAATTTTTAATATAAAAAACGTCAATTAAGTTTAATATATCTATGTTTCAGAACTAAACAACTTGTACATGTTGTGGTAGATCCATTGTTATGCAATATCTTAAGGCCTCACCAACGTGAGGGTGTGAAGTTCATGTATGAATGTGTGACTGGAAAACGAATAGAAAATGCTTATGGATGTATTATGGCTGATGAGATGGGTCTTGGAAAAACATTGCAATGTATAACTCTTTTGTGGACTCTGTTAAAACAGGGTAAATCATCAGTGTGTTTTATATAAACTGGTATAAATATTTACAGTATGTTTATTGTAAATGAATGTATATAATGGTATTGTACAGGACCCGAAGCTAAATCACTTATAGAGAAGGCTATTATTGTTGCTCCGAGTTCATTAGTAAAAAATTGGTACAACGAAATTTTTAAATGGTTAAAAAACAGAGTTCAACCACTAGCCATTGATGGTGGAAATAAAACAGACATTGACGTGAAACTCACCGGTTTTATGAAGACTTATGGACGTAGATGCGCTAATCCTATTTTAATAATTAGCTACGAGACCTTCCGTTTACATGCCCACGTACTTCATCAAGACGAAGTTGGGCTAGTATTATGTGACGAAGGTCATCGTTTAAAAAACTCAGAGAATCAGACTTATCAAGCACTTATAAGTTTGAAAGCCAAAAGAAGAGTATTGCTTAGCGGAACACCTATCCAAAATGACCTTTTAGAATATTTTTCTCTTGTCCATTTTGTTAATCAGGGATTGTTGGGAACTGCACAGGTATATTCATTAATTTCACTTAGAAATTTGTACGTATTTTATCTAGAAAATTATTGTGTTCTTATTGGTCGGTAGGAATTCCGGAAAAAATTTGAAATACCAATTTTACGTGGTCAAGATGCAGCTGCAACAGACACAGAACGCAAACTTGCTCAAGAACGTTTAACAGAATTAGTAACTATCGTTAATAAGTGTCTTATTAGACGTACCAGCGCCTTACTTTCGAAATATTTACCATTAAAACACGAGCTCGTAGTTTGCATAAAGATGGGGAAACTGCAAACTGATCTATATAAGCATTTTGTACAGAGTGACAGTATTAAAAAATCAATGGAAGGTTTGTCAACTTTTTATTATGCTAAAACGCATACTTAAATTTGTTTAATGTATATTTATTTTGTTTTATAGTAGATTCTGATGGTTCCAAAAAAGGAAAGAGTCTGTCTGCTTTATCTGCAATTACACTCTTGAAAAAACTGTGCAATCATCCTGATTTAGTTTACCATAAAATATTAGAGCAATCGGACGGATTTGAAAACGCTGCAAAATTAATGCCATCGAATTATAGTACTAAGTAAGTACAAGTAAGAATTATTATTAGTCATGTCATACACAATGAATTACGGTTAATAATAAATCATTTTAAACCGCAATGACATTAAAAAATAGAATATTTATATATGACTCAATTTAATACAAGGAAACGGACCATCATTTTTATATATACAATTTTGCTTCCAGAGAAATCATGCCTGAACTATCAGGAAAATTAATGGTATTAGACTGTCTGTTAGCATCTATTAAAACAACGACTAATGATAAAATTGTACTAGTATCGAATTATACACAAACTCTTGATCTCTTTGAAAAATTATGCCACAAGCGTTCCTACAATTACGTTAGACTTGATGGTACAATGACTATTAAAAAAAGGTCAAAAGTAGTGGATAAGTTCAATGACCCAAACAGCAGCGATTTTATCTTCATGCTTAGTTCTAAAGCTGGCGGCTGTGGACTGAATCTTATTGGAGCGAATCGTCTTGTCATGTTTGATCCCGATTGGAATCCTGCAAATGATGATCAAGCTATGGCTAGAGTGTGGAGGGATGGTCAGAAGAAACCATGTTTTGTGTATCGTTTCCTTTGCGTATGTAAAATATCTCGTATAACAGTCTGTTCTATCTTTACTATGTGTTGCTTTATTTAATTCCAACATAACTATATTATAGACTGGTACGATCGAAGAAAAGATTTTCCAGAGGCAAGCACACAAAAAGGCCTTAAGTTCAACAGTAGTTGATCAGGAAGAAGATGTTGCAAGACATTTCACATTAACTGATTTGCGGGATTTATTTAAACTAGAGGAAAATACAATATCTGATACTCATGCAAAGTAAGTAGGAAATCTTGAGGAGATACTTGAATATCACGGGTGTATTGATTACCATCAACCATAAATAAGAGCAATTAAAATTTCATTTTTTTAATATTACATCGAACCCGTATATGGATAATACAACTGGATGTATTATTATGTTTATGTTGTAGATTCAAATGTAAGAGATGTCTTAATGGTATAGAAGTGAAAGGGCCGCCTGAGAATTCTGATTGCAATTCAGATTTGTCAGACTGGAGACACGCCCACAACCCACGAAATTTGCCGGATTTGTCACTAAGGCAATGCTGGTCAAGTGGAATTTCCTTTGTTTTCCATCATCGTTCGCACGAGCAAGTTATATAAAACGATATGATTTTCTTTTTTACACTGCCACATTCCTTGCGAAAGTTATCAAATAAGATAACGAATATGTAACATAATCAAATATATTTTACAATGATGGAAACTAACGTTAATATTTATATTAACACCAACCGTATCAAGACTTTTATATACCTATTCGTACCATATTTAAAACCGGTCATTTGACCAGCCGTTGTACGTTTAGTGTTAATATTTTGTACAAATATGATATTGTAAGTATTATGTAAGTTTGAAAGGAGATGTACCAGCATACAATTTACGTAGATCTAAAATGCATAAAATAAATTCTTATTCGTGAAAGTTTGGAATCGTATATGTATTAAATATTTTTGTAATAAACATTTTAAACAGTACTAGATTGAAGATGTGCTCAAAGCAATATGGCTACCAACATGAAGACGTAATTCTGAAATGCAATGTTTTCGAGACAGTTAGTAATGTGGGTATAAGCTCGCTTTCGAACGGGTTCTGCGTAGAAAAGCAAGGGGCACAGCAAGCGGCTTCAGGAATTTGCTCCACATAAACATAGGAACAACGAAGAAAAGTGGGGAAACGAGAGAACGTCATAGAGGGGGAATGGAAATAATGGAAGAGGGAGCACGTGATCACTGATCGCGAGCTGTGATTGGCGGAAAGTGATGAACGTCGCTTTCCCTCCTAACCGTTCCTGTTCGCTTGCCCTTCTTTCGAGGTTCCGTGCAGCTGCCCGTTCAGAATAGTTCCAGATGTGGCCATGTTTAGTTTGATCTTTGAAGTTTTCGCTCATCGTCTCATAACTGATACATTTTTATACTATCTGCTGACACAGTAATACGCTCTGTCCGACAATCGTATTTTTTCGCTTGCCTGCCGACTAGTCTCGTTCATAATACATATGTTTTGCTGAGATAAATCTCGAACGCGGAAGTACACGAGAGAGACGTAAACGCTGTCATCCATCGGAAGGACAGAGGAACAACGCGAGTCGAGTCCGTGGATATTAATTCTTTGTCTCGATGAATTCACCAATCGCCAGTAACAGACGCGCGCCTCAGTAATTTCGCAGTTGTTTCGTACGGCGAGGCCAGACCAATTCGTTGTTCCCTTTCTCTTTCTCTCTCTTTCCTAGAAAAGATTTTCGAATCAAAGAAAAAGAGAACGCCGTTATCGAGATCACGAAACACGGGGAAACATCCGAGTGGAAGCTAAAGCTTCGCATTATTCTTCGAGACTTCGGTCATATTACCGGAGAACATTGTTTTTATTTATTAGTCTTTTATTCGCTTTTCGTTTTGTCATAATTTGACGAAAAGCAAGTACGCACGCGCGTTTTCTCCCGAGCCCCGACTTTTCCACCACACGTACTTCGCACGAAGTACATTCACGGAAGACGAACAGATAATCCGAGACGCCTACGGACTTATCGTCGACGGGCCGCCATATGCCACGTCAAGCCAGAATGACGTTGCAGTGGCGAGATCGCGACATTTAACGAAATTTAATAGCAAGGAGAGGAGAGACACAGTGAAATAATCTATACTCCATCGAATCGAGAGAAGTGCAAATAACAGGACGAAAAAGAGAGCATTTAGTTACAGAACAAAGGGCAGCCTGCCTTGTGTACAGGCGTGAAGAATATTCGAGGGCGAGAGAAAATATAAGACAGGGGCGTAGCCAGAAGCCGAGAAAAAGGGACGGAAAAAAAAGGTTCACGAAAAACTGGTATATTCGGGTCCGGTTGATGTGCGCACGCGCGCTTCTCACCTTCCGTGAAACAAGAGAGAGACAGAGAAACGGAGGGACACATCGCGACACGATTCGATATTCTGTAGGCTAATTTGTGTCTTGTATACCGCCGGATATTACTCCTAATTTTCAAATGCTAGAATTCAGGCACGCGATTCTCACGCAAACAAAGAGCCATCGAGTGTGGTCGCGTCAATCGATCGAATGATCATCGTCGGGCCACAGTGCTATATCATATGGTACAAAACACGATCGATCGGGACAAAACAATGGCATTAGAGAGTGTTTCCGCGGCTGAGACTCTAATCCAAAGGTTTGCCTCCACATTTTTTATTCACCAAACAACGGAACAGTCGAAATTTTTCTATGGCTGTTCAACTACTACTCACAATTACACGTTGACCCCCCTCTCCGGAGGCTCCGTGCTGGCCCCCGCTTTCGTTCAGTAACACACCATTGGCACCGTGACGAAAAACGAATCCACTGTGCTATTTGTTCTTCGGATACATGTAACTTATTTAGTTTTTCCGTTTATGGTTCTTCGTTACATTTAAATTAATTCGATTGTTCCTAAAATTAACAATTTCGATCTGTACGCTCGAAAACCACCTTGACATCATTTCTAAGGTCAAGGACATTTTCGTAACAAAGAACACGAAATGGCAGTAAACATACGCGTCACTTTTGTTACCGAGTCATGAAATTATTGCGAAACACGCTTGCGTGTATCACTGAAATATTAAAATTTGAACACGTGAATATTTTGTTGAAATCTTGAATATGCATATTTGCTTACGTTTACGTGTAACGCATCTGTTACACGTACTTTCATTTTATAAGTAGCATTGAAGGACTGTGGACGGAATTCTTTTCGAAAGATTGTAAAACATTGAAAAATAATGCACGGGATCTTCGGGGAGTAAGATATTCTTGTATACAGTTTCCCTGCTTCGTGTAATACATATGTACATTTACACACTTCCATATCATTCATATACACACACCCACCTTTACACATAACACACATGTAGCGTGTACGTGCGTGCACATATATATACATACTATGCATACACACGTATGTGTACGTAACGTATATGTATATGCACACGATGAACAAGAGAGAGACTTAAATGAGGTCTACACGCGAAGAAATTCTGGCGGTGCGACGTCATTGACATTTTCCTTTAAAAATGTTACAAGCACCATTGGCAATGCTGTAACGATGACTATGAGATATGCTGCAGAATAATGTGATATTGTATATCGATCCAATGTCTATGCTATTGCATCGATGACGATGATGAATTAATGATAGTCACAATGATAATGCTAATGACAAGAGTGATTCCTGGGTAAGGTAACTCCAATCTATTATTTATTTACGGGATCCCGTGGATGGATCCGGTTCATTGTGCTATGTTTGACGACTGTTTTAGCGCCTGTAATTTTGCCAATTACTTTTCTAATTACGTGTATATTTGTTTTAAAACTTGGGAATGGTTGTATACGCTTCGAATGGGTTTTCTTCTCTGTAATATAATTTCATGCTTTCACACGTTATGCGATTGATACAATCGTACGAACATATAGTTACACATTTCTTGACGAGCATTGTCGTACGAAAAATGGTATTGCATAGAAAAACACGATCATTTTGCAAGTACATATGTAATGTCGACTATACATATATCTGGGTTGCATCGATCGGTGCCCTACCGTGCTGCAACGTGTCCGTTAGTTGTGCCATCAGACAAGCTAATGTTTTCAGCTCAACTAGTAGCAGAAGTTCCTTTCGGGTATACTCTGCTCGATTAAAGTTTACGATGTTCCTTTATCCATCGTATAGAAGCCCGTGATATGTATTTAATGACTGTTGCTGATAATGGCCTTGACAGCTATTATAAGCTCAGGCCAATTTTTTCATGAAATCTTTTTCTCCTCTTTTTATCAAAGAAATGCGTACTTGCGTTTCACCTTTGGTCATTGATAAATAATGACGATGATGATGATGATAATGAGGTGATAGAAATTTATTAAATGTTACTAATTTCACGTTTTAATTCCTATGATCTTTTGAGTGAATTTTATTATAGAAAGGATATTTCTAAAGAATTTATATAATTATTAAGAGGTACATTGAGAAAATAATTGTTAAAAATTAGTAAAAAATATTTGGAGAAATTTTTAATCTTACTGGCTATTCAAGATTATTTGAAAAAGGAGTTTTTATCTATAAATGTGGAATCCACACAATATTTGAGAAACATTATTAATGGAAAAATCCATTGCTAACTTTATCCGTTGCAGAGAATTGGGATTATTAAACGTTTTAAACACGTAAAATTTTAACTAAGCATATCTATAGTCATTGTTGCAGATTGAATCTTATCCTAACAAATACAAAAATACAATTACAAAACAATACATAAATCTAGATCACAGACAAAATGAAAATGAAGTTATTTAATTTCTCAAGAATATAATTAAATTTTTTTTAATATTTTCATAGTAATAATGACAATGACTTGGAAGATGGAGAAATTCCATCTGATGAAGATGATGAACCAGTACCACCACCAGTCAAAGATGATGACACTGTTAGAAACACATCAAAAGCAGATACATCAAAGAACAAATCCTTTGATTCTAAGTTTAGTAAAAGTAAAAAACCAAATGTCCAAGGAAGTAGTAAACACGACAGATTTTTAAAATATAAAAACCCAACAGAAGATTGGGCTGGGGATGTTGAGAAAGCTATTAGGGCAGCTTTAGAAGAAGATGGTGCTAGGAATCAGGACTCTAAGTCTAAGAGTAAAAATAATAGAAATAAGAGTAGGAAAAGGCTTCGTGATGAAAGGGAGGAAGATCGTGGCAAAGATCAAAAGGTTTAGGGAATTTTTTAACTATATTTTACAGCAGTATGTTAGGACGATAAATACTCATATTGTAAATATGTATTATTTATAGAGACGCAAGATGAGTGATGATGAAAATGTTAATGAAGATGAGGATGAAATGGTGTTTGTTCGAGGTGCCTCACCTGTTAGGAAAGATTCACAAGAAAACAACTCTCCCAGACACGTCAATGATCATGAAAATTTTGATAGTAATTCAGATTATGATGACAGGCCTAATGTAAATCGACATAGGGATAATGATACGAAGCGTGGCAATACAAGGGGCGGCGGAGGGGGAGGTAAAATAATATATCAATCATATTTTTCTATTTACATATTATACAGTGTTGCAGATATTTTAGTAATATTTTTGTTCTAATAGGACGAAGAGGTGGTAAGAATGAACGGGGTGGTAAAAATAAAACTCGTGGGCAAATGAGGAATGATAGAAATGGTCGGAGGAACCAGAATAATGATCATGGTCAAGATCCAGATGCTATATGTGTTTATTATATGCAAGGAAAATGTCACAGAGGAGATGACTGTCCCTTCTCACATAACGCATTGCCTCCTAGAAAAATGGAACTATGTAAATTTTATCTTATGGATTGTTGTGCGAAGAGAGATAAATGTCTTTACATGCATCATGATTTTCCATGTAAATTTTTCCATACGGGATTGAAGTGTAATCAAGGAGAAAATTGTAAATTTTCTCATCAGCCTTTAAGTGAACAGGTATTGTCTAATAATTTTGTTTCATTTAAGAAAAAAGTTGAAGACAGTTTTAAGTTAAGGGTTTCATCTTTTAGGTAAAAGGAATCTTATTGAAGCACTTGGAAACAGCACCGAAAGAGATTCTTGGTGACTTTCCACGTTTAAGTAGGGAAGGAGCAATGTTAATGATAAATAATACAGCAAGAACACTAGCACAAGGTCAGGAAGTAGCAAATCAAAAGATTCCAAGTCTTTTTGATTTAAATGTACCTGCACCCACTGGTATTACAGATAAAAATAATGAGAAAGATGAGAAAGGTAGATAATAACGCTTACTATTATCCATGTAAAAATGTGATTGTAATATTAATAAGTGTTGTTAAAATTTGTTACATAGAAGATCAAGTATCTCAACAAAAGAATGTTAGAGAAAGAAAACCACCTGGTAAAAAAACAAGATGGGGTTCTGATGAAGATAGGGTTCCATTCGAACAAATTATGCTATTGCAGTCAGCCAATGAATATGGTCTGCAGCTTCCCAATGCTGCACTGGGTTTAGCAACTCAGCAGCAGTTGCATCCGAAACCACTGATACCACAGTCCATGTCAAACATGGATTTTTATACTGAAGCGAATTCTGAAATGAACAAATCCAATATGAACAAGCGTGATAGAGAAGATTTTACGAAAGACGTAGAAGAGGATGAAATCTTGGAGCAGGTATAACAATTTGTAATTTTTATTCAGAAATTATTTTACCTCTTTCTTTATTTTTATACATTGTAAAACTAAAAATGCTTATATTGTTCTTCAGGCGAAAAAGAAAGATTCTTCTATACTTGAGAATTCGAAAGATGTAGATTTAAGGCAACTGTTAAAAACTTCAAAAAAGCCGCCTTTTGCTGTCAGTATAGCTGATGAAGTAGCAAACCTTACTAAGTTTAAGTTTGACGAAGAGAGCGACCAAGATGAAGAAACAGACCTTATTATAGAGATGCCAATTGAAGAAGAGGATAAACAGAAAGTGAAAAATATCGGACATGAAGGTAATATTTTATCCCAGAAATTGTATAGTGTAGATACATGTAACTATTAACATTTGATAAGAAAATGCTGGAACATTGTAACTCAGACCAGAACCTTTTACCTTAAAACAGGAATTGAAAACTAGTAGAAAATGAATTAATTTGTTACAGAAACGTGTACCGCAATTGAACAAAGTAATAATAATAATACTTTTTCACCGGACTCGGAGGAGCAAGAAATTCCGACACACTTACCGAAAAAGGCGCAGGAATTATTCATGCGTATTCAGCAACAACAGCGTGCAGCTCAAGATAGCTTTAAGAATATGGAGAATGACTGTCCGCCAGAGAACGCAGATCAAATTCTAGAAGACTGGTACTCTGATGATGACGACGAGGGAGGCAATCTTACGATAGTTCTGTCTAATAAGGATTCATCGAAAGAAGATAATGAATTCTCGGAAGAGACGCAGAATGCCGTCAAGAAAGAAGATAATGAGCCGCCAACTTCAACATCTAGCATACCTCAACCGGCAGCGATCGTAGACAAACTCGGTGACCTGAGCAAAATTGATATTAGTGCTGAAGTGTCCAAACTTTTATCTTCCCTTAAAGCACATAGTTCAACCAGTGGCAAATCCAGCCAGCAGAACGCTAATGGTCAGGATTACCTCTCGAAAAGTAAATCCTCACCAGATAGAGTGTCGTCGGATGAATCTAGCGCCCATAACAAAAGCACATTCAGTGCTCCGAATCAGCTGCTGAAACTTGAGAATGAAACATCGAGTCCACGGTCGTCTCCTGGAGTGAGTTCTGCACCTTTGTCCAGAGATCCTCGCATGTCTCGGGATCCTAGGCAACGTAGGGACGAACAGAAGTCAAATAGTCCCAGTAGGATAGAGTGCAAAAAGGAGAGCAAGCCACTTCGACTAGAAACGAGTATTTATAGTTCTGGTATTACTGCAGTTGACACTAATATGGACACGGATCTTCGTACGAAGACCGATCAGGATCTTAGAAGGAAAGATATGGATTTCAGGCAACGATTTCAAACCGGTTTCGGGGACACTGATCTACGAGTTGTTGGGGCAAGCTTTACAGATGCGTCCACCAAGTCGGATGTTGACTTACGGCAAATGTTGAGTTTGCCGTTCAAGCCAGCACCTTCTCATGTACCTTGCACGGAAATAGATGCTAGTATTTCCTCCCATCCCCCAATGATGTATAAAGTGTATGTTGTGGACATACCACGACCAGACTATACCGGTTTAAAATTAACTAAGAATGATGCCCAGGTGAAATACGACCCACGATTAAGGAAAATATTTCGAATCGGTAAAATTGAACTAGCTGATTCCCCTATGTCTCCACCTCCGGTGAAACCGGACACTCCAAAGTCGCCCCCACAGGTCCGATCCGATCCACGTCGCAAAGCTCTCGAGGCTTCCAATTTATCTTCTCAAAATGTCAATGCTTCCATGATGAAACCTGTGCAGCAACCACCGATGGAAATGTCCAACATGGCAATGGGTCCTGGTGGTATGTCTGTTCCTCAAACAATGCCAGGACCACAAGGCATGCAAGGGGGACAGGGTATGATGCCTATGGGTCCAAATCCAATGCTTGGAAACATGGGTCCAATGGGGCCAATGATGAATGCACCTATAGGTCCTCAAAACATGCCACCTATGGGTATGACAGGCATGTCCAACATGCCTCCAGGAATGGCCCTGAATGGACCTGTTGTGCCTCAGAATCAAATGAACTTCGATCCACGTTTCAATGTTCAACGTAACAATGGAGCTGGTCTGTTGGGTCCTGCACCTGGTGTAGGTGTAGGTTTTGGACCAGATGTTAATTCTTCGTATGATAGTGCACCATCTTATTCTGGTGGTAATTTCAATAATTTTGGTCCTGGTCCCGGTCCTGCTCCTGGCCCGGCACCTCCAGATTCAGGTATGATGGGGTACAACCCAAACGGTCCAAATCCAAACTTTGGTATGGATGGGCCAGAGTGGAACGGTGCGAATCAAAATAGGCGCGGCGGCAGAATCAGACGACGGAACCGCAACAGGACCAATATTGTGACTAATAATTAAAGCAATAAGCAGTTTCGAGTAGGTACATAAGCAAAGTACCTGGTGATAATTCTCATTCTAATTTAAATTTGTACAGTATGCATTGTTAACATAATGCATTCATTCACGGCGGTCCAGACTAATTGTTTTAATCTTGTCAATTGTACATGGTGTCAAATGCTCGCTAGTGATTTAAATAGCAGAATATAAATTTAAAAGAATCGGAATTAATTAAAGAAATTGTAAATGGATTTGCATTCAAGCATTTGTTAAGTACACATACCATGAATGGTGTTGTGAATAATGCTCATAATCACGCGTCTTTCTATGTTTCTATAGTTTATTTAAAAATATCAATCGTATTCTATGTGAGAAATATTGTATACAGGATACATTTATTACACCCTACGGGCTTTAGGAAATTATTTCTCTGAAGAGACGTATCTGTATATATTGAATATCATCATCCCATTCGAAAAGACATATAACGCATAAGATGGTGGCAAGTTAAAGATCGTTTAATTATACAAATTGATTTATATTTTTTTGTATGTCTTCCATGTATAGTACATAAACACTAACGCATCATATATGATTCATGTGTACACTACAATCTTGGCTTCTAGAATAGCATTCGGATTTCATTAAGTTACGTTAAAACATTATGAATACAAAAAGTTGTGAACTGTTAATGGGCTTAAGGCCTCGGTCGGAAATTGAAACACCAATTAGATGACAGTACGTTAATCAGTACGAAATCGCAATATTTTGTAAAAAAATTAATGTATTTATAAGGATTTTGAAAAACAGTTGTACATGGACATACTTTTTTACTTGTGTAAGTATTAAAGGGATATAGATGGGTACAGAGGAATGTTTGTTTTCGGATTTTTGTAGAAGTATCAACCGAAAGTCGCAAGTTTTACACCGGTAGTGAAGCATATCCAGTAATTACGTCATTTATAAGTTTCGTGGTACAACCTCTGTACGTTCCACATTAAATGTTAAATTCGTTTATCTTCCAAGAAGTAGAGTAAGAATACTACATCTATGAGGAATAATACTACACACTGATTATATTTAAACGGAAAGAATTGTTCAGTCATTGTCCAGTGTTAACCTATCAATTATAGTTTTTCTCTATTATTAATATTATTATTACGATTACGATACTATAAAGTAAAAAATACATTTGTAAAAAATAAAGTTTACTATTATATAGTAAAACTTTTTTTGTATAGTTCACTTATTCATTTTAATATGGTTATCTGTTGTTCGTTTTAACGTTGTAAATAATGTTGTATTTCTCCAGTGCACTTTTTAAAATACAAGTACTTCTAAATACGGATATAAAAGACAACAAGTTTTTATATAATATATAACCTATATAAGAAGTTGTACTTTCATTCGACTATAGTTCACACTGTTACAGATTCTTATTAAGTTATTATCATTATTGCTTTTTAACCAATAATAATTGCGATGAAAATCATTTTCCATTAATGTACAATGGAGCTTAGGGGATCGGCTCTTATAGATGACAGATCTAGACGTGCATCCATCTCGTCATCCAATTCTCCTACAATTGCCCTAAAAAATGATAACAAACCACTAACTTAGTGTAATTTTAAACGTCTCATATATATTATGAAACAAACATTGGCACATAATAATGTTGAGCTTTCTTTAAACATACCAATGTGCATTTCATCTGTATTTAATTGAATTTTATGAACAGATGTACATAATTTTTAACACAATGATAAATGTACCTATGTATCTTAAAATGTAAAATGTATATTTTTTTATCTATTAATATTCATACAATTTCTTGACTGTCAGAATTAAATGTATTATTAACTTTGTATGTGTTCAAGTTTACATCATATTATATGTAACTTAAATACAAATAATTAATATTTTAATTTGAACATCAGAAAGTTAATGTATGAATATATTATATCATATTATTGATATATATCTATTAAAAATAACAAAGAACCAATCAAATATATTTTGTATTATATGCGGTTAAATAAGTAATGAATTAATTTAATTACTTACACATTGTCACCTCTGATAATGTGTAAACCTAATACAACTTGTTCAACACCTTGTGTTGTACTATAAACCCTTTCATGCGATTCGTCCAATATTATGTTAATGGTTTGGTCGAAACCTTTAAGTGTACCCTGAAAGTTAAAAATTTTTAAGGATATTCAAAAACAAGAAAAAAAAGAAAAAGTGGGAATATCGAAATTACGTATATACTTACAATAAAGTTTCTGCCATCAGAAGTGATAATAGAAACTGTATCTACGAATTGTTCAGGACATACAAACAACAATACCTTAGAACATCTTCAGTATGAAGATTAATAGTAATTGTAAAAGGATACGATTCACGTAACTTTCTAAACCTGACGCCATAATCTTAATTGCTAATTACACATTAAAGTAATTTTCACATAGAATTATAAACACGAGTAGGTATATATATACGTGTACCGTATACACTGCTCGTTCTGAACAGTTCTGAACACGTTACTTTACTTAACCCAATGTTTTGCACACTCGGACATTACTCAAGAAACTTCTTAAAATAGAAATTTTACTAAGAATCAGAGAATTATAATGAAGCAAAGTTAAATTACACTGAATTTAGAATTAAATGGTTATTTAACCGCAAGATTTGCGTATTAAAACAAGGATCAACAAATTTACTATCACTGGAAGATCACTGTCAAAACGCAAATAAATACATACAAATGATTAGTGTGACATGTATGATTGTAATATGAATATGATTGGTTTTTGTTTTATAAAATTGTTTACTTTTTACGGATCAAAGTATTCAATTCTGTTGTAATTTATAAAACTAGTGCATAGAAAATGTAGAACTCATGGAGGTATTCAGAGATACTCTCATTATCAGGCGGGAATACGAAGTCTGGTCTCTAAAAAATATATTTTAAGGATAAATAAATGAAATTGTTTGCTTAAAATACAGTGTAAATATTAATCTTTAGGAATCTATAATCATATGTAATTATAAGAATGCTTCGTACATTATATATTTATAAGATAATAACCGATGACCAATATGGGAGCACTCTCATGTCGTGGTATTCAATGGTTCTTTAAGTATTTTGAAGAATACATATGCAGATTCAAGTAAATTGTGGTATCAAATGTGAAATTCTCTCGAACGGACATTACACATTAACAATCGTTGATTGTAGCATTTTTAATTAACATTGGATATTTTGATTCCCGCCAAATCATATAAGATACACGTAATATGAATAGAATATATAATGCTCCATTTATGCTAATAATACTCAGGACTCATGCCTTATCGATAATGTCGGTTATTAATACTGAAATGGGAAGAGGGCAATGGAGCTCTCGAAGCATGTGACAGAAAATTACATTGCATGTTAGATCTATTCTATATTTCGTCTGTGGCTGTGGTCGGAACAATGCGTAGGTGTTTGTACCATTTTAAAGCAAAGCGCCAGCGGTAACGAAGTGAATTATTTTTTGCGTGTGATTATGACACGATCGCCGGTTAGTGATTAGGACACGGTAATAGAAGTAAGATGTCAGATACGTTAGGTCGTAAGTACGTGGAATTACGCGCTAGTGAAAAGTTCAATGGGAGCAGAAGGCTCGTTGTTAACGCATTCGTCCCACGATTCGATAGGTAATCACATTGTTGCAAGTCGCTCTATTTTGCAGTCCCGTTGTAAACGAAATCAATGAAAACTCTCGTTAATCGTGGAAGGTTTCGTGTATTTATCAAAAATACGCCCTAAAAGTGAAATGTCCACTTACCGGCTTATTATTCGTATACATGTCGATCTAACCTAACTTTCACTTCGTCAAGATTTTTTTTTTTAATGGGGTTATTCAGTCGAGCGGGGATGCTTTGGCTTTTTTTAGCCACGAACAATGTCGCAAGTTCATTAGAAATGTTGGTGCGTGGAACACGTGCGTGTGTGCAGCGTCTCGTGAATTACAGTTCCGATTTGACATTGTAAACACGACGACTTGACCTTACAATGGCAAGTTGGACGACCTTGACTTTGGCAAGTATACAATGACCGAACAGTCACTCTTGTCAATGCAATTCATCTTTTTCTGCACTGATTCGATGCTAGAATCCACACCTAAATGAACAACTGCAAATAAATTGATCTGCAAATTCTAATGAACTACAATTGAAATTCCGATCGAATTTGTTTGTTGATTCGTTTATTTATAACCTAACGTATACTAGAGTTGGCTGATTCAAAAAATACCGTGATACCCAATGATTTTTTTGAGCTGAAAGATTGATTATCTATACATCACTTTTTATAGTTTAATATACTTCTGTGCACAATGTTTAAACATTTGATAAACCTATAGATATATAATTCAGTACCCTGATTGTGTTTTAGAACAACATACAATTTTAAAACATTTCATAATAGAGTGTATATCAATAGCAATTTGTAATGTACTTACATTCCTTTGTTATAGATAAACCATGAGTACATTTGGTGTGGTGCATTGGTAGTCATCCTGGCATAAATGTTTCGGTGAGTCAGTTTTTTTATTAATGATAAGTTATTTTAATGTTAGCATTGATATATCATACAATTATTAATATGATTCTTTCAACTTTAATATTTATAAATAATTTCATAACCTCTAGTATTTGTAAAATTCTATTCTCTTAATTCTATACTCTGTGTTTATATTATTGCCATTACAATCAGTTGATGGCATGTGTATTTATTCATTTATATAAAAATTGTTTATATCAGTCTTTCTAAAAGTATGGAGAAAAAAGTAACAAAACTTTCATAGTTCCATGATTTATTTTAACTTCATTTGACAATAATAATTTAGAAATCATATATAACAATATTTATATGATTGTCAGTGTTATAAAACACAAGTAGTTCTATCAGTACGATAACTGATTAGTTAAATGTGCAATGTCTTGATATGTATGTCTTTTATAAGAAGAACACGAAGATTGGAATG